GTTGTATACATCTGTAATACAACCTCCTAGTTATGACCTTGCGTTTTTAAGTGTTTGACACCTATTAGTTTTCCCTGTACTACTTCTGTCATAATCTCTGGTTACATCTGCACTCGTTCAGATGATCCGTCCAACCTTCTTTTTTTGATAGTGACCTCTCTCCTACCTTTACCCTCTACCATAGACATCCCATTCCTTCTCATTACCAAATAAACATGCACTGAATTTTCTTTCAGACGTGCCACTCTCTCACTGACAACTTCTATAGTTCTGATCATTCCCCTCTAGCTGTTCTCCTACTCCTCCCCATTAATGTTCTGACCCCACTAAGACAGCATTCATCCATCAACTCTCATGTCCTCATTTCCCTAGTCCATCACTATAACGATTATAGGTTATAAGTCTCAACTCTTTTTTTCTCTTTGTCTTCCACTGGCAAAATCTCAACCCTTGTTTTAAATTTAACTCTACATTCCTGTACCAGACAGCTGAAAATGGCTGTAGCAAAACCACACAACTGTGCTGACTCATCTCATTTAAATTTGACAACAAACCTTAAATGGCCTCTCAGTATTGCCCCATTACTCCTGGTAATTTCACTTGTCAATCTACTCTGACTTTCCTGGAAGAGTAACTCACTTTTTCTCTCCAAAAACCTCCAGACCTTCTCTTTATTCCCATTTCATTGAAAACTTCATAATCCCATCACAGAATCTAACTGCTGCTGTTTTCACATACAGCATTCCCTCCTGTTAAAAATGGATGAACTATTTGTGTTCCTTTTCAGGACCCATTCATTTCCTCTTACCATCTAAAGGACATTGCCTTTTCAATTGCCCCCTCAATTTTTTTTTTCTAGATCATTCTCTTTAGCATATATACATGTTGAAACATGGCCTGCATTTTTTTCTTTTCTTTTTTTTTTTTTTTTTTGAGATGGAGTTTCGCTCTGGTTACCCAGGCTGGAGTGCAATGGCGCGATCTCGGCTCACTGCACCCTCCGCCTCCTGGGTTCAGGCAATTCTCCTGCCTCAGCCTCCCGAGTAGCTGGGATTACAGGCAAGCACCACCATGTCCAGCTAATTTTTTATATTTTTAGTGGAGACGGGGTTTCACCATGTTGACCAGGATGGTCTCGATCTCTCGACCTCGTGATCCACCTGTCTCGGCCTCCCAAAGTGCTGGGATTACAGGCTTGAGCCACCGCGCCCGGCCGGCCTGCAGTTTTTTAAAAACATGCGAACAAAAGTCCGTCTTTCCTTTCTCCCTTATCCAACTCCAACTGCTACAACATTTGTTGTTTCCCTTTTATAGCAAAATACTTTGAAAGAGGTCTTATGTATTCATGGTTTTAAGTTCTTCATTCCTTCTTGAACATGTTTCACTTTGGACTATGCATAAAATATCTACTATTATGAATATTGCCCTTTCCAAGTTCATCAGTCATCTCGATAACACCAAATCCAGTGACAGATTTTATTTTTTTTCTTGAGACAGAGTCTCACACTTGTCTCCTAGGCTGGAGTCCAGTGGTGCAATCTTGGCTCACTGCAGTCTTCATCTCCCGGGTTCAAGTAATTCTCCTGCTTTAGCTTCCTGAGTAGCTGGGATTACAGGCATGCGCCATGACACCTGTCTAATTTTTGTATTTTTAGCAGAGACAGATTTTCACCATGTTAGCCAGGCTGGTCTCGAACTTTTGACTGCAAGTGATCCGCCCACCTCAGACTTCTAAAGTGATGGAATTACAGGCATGAGCCCCCACAGCTGGCAGACTGATTTTTTTTTTTTTTTTTTTTTTTAAGTGAAGTCTTGCTCTGTCCCCCAGGCCGGAGTGCAGTGGAATGATCTCCGCTCACTGCAACCTCCGCCTCCTGGGTTCAAGTGATTCTCCTGCCTCAACCTCCCGAATAGCTGGAACTACAGGCACATGCCACCACACCCAGATAATTTTTTGTTTAGTAGAGACGAGGTTTTCACCACATTGGCTAGGATGGTCTTTATCTCCTGACCTCTTGATCTGCCCACCTCGGCCTCCCAAAGTGCTGGGATTACAGGTATGAGCCACCGTGCTTGGCCTTTTATTTCTTATTCTGTTTCTCATGAAGGTTTAATGTAGTGAATCAAAATGTCTTTCTAAAAAAATGTTATGCTTTGTCTTTTGTATTCCAGGATCTCTCCTGATTTTCTACTACATGGCTGGCCATCCATTCTCAGTCCCCCTTGCTCTTTACTCTTTCTTTCCCCAGAATCACTCCTAGAAATGTTGGAATTACTACAAATCAGTCCTATGTTTCTCTACCTACATGTTCTCTCTAGACTGTATCTCCAGTGCCATAGCTTTAAATGTCATCTCTATGCTGATAGCTCTCAAATGTTTCTAGCCCAGTATATTCTTCTAAACTCTACTCTCTGTGCAGTTGTCTGTATGACTTTCCTATTGATATCAAATAGGCATCTCAAATTTAAAATGTGAGAAAATGTGAGATTCTTATTCTTGATGTTTTTACTGCACCTTCGCCTCCATTGTCCTGTGTTAGTACATTGTAGTATCATTGGCCCTAGTATTTAGGCAGAATTTTAGATTAATCTCAGACTTGTTTTTCTCTCATGCTCCACATCCAAACCATGAAGAAATCCCATTGGCTCTACTCTCCTGAATGTGGCCTCTTCTCACTGTTCAACCACTACCTCCTAGTCTAGGGTTAACTGTCATAGCCTAGTGGTCTCCCCGCTTCCAGTATTGCTTTTCTCCTTTTCAGTCTTGTTTTCCAGACAGAAGCTAGAATCTTTATATAGTCTCATCTCTACACAACAACCCCTTTTTAAAATATTAAATGTTGTTATTCTGTTCAGAGTCCTCCAGTAACTATTTTTATTCATCTCAGTAGAAAACACTAAGCCTTTACCATGGTTTATGGAGCTGTACTTAGTTAATCCTGGAGATCTCAAGCCTCACCACTTATTCCCTGTCACATACTCCTTTCAAATTAGTATGCCTTTCCGTGTGCCTACCTCGGTCTTTGTCTAACTCTCTGTGCTTGGAAGAATCTTCGTCTTAATATCCATGTGACTTATCCGTCACTTTATTCACTTCTCTCTTCTAAGGCATACCTTGACTGTTTTGTCTAAAAAAGTACTCCATTTATATTTATTTTTCATAGTAATTATCACTACCTGACATTTTCATATTTGTTTAGTGCCACCATCCTGCTTGCCTCCGCCCCGCACCTCAACACACACACAAGAATGTTGGACCTAAGAGGGCAGCTGTTTAGTTTCTCACTGAATCCGCTATCTAAAACTGTGTAGAACTCAACAAATATTTGTTGAATGAATAATGAATGTTTTGATATCTTATATAAGCAGTATAATAGTATGGTACAGGATTATCTACATCTGACCGATGCATTGATATATCTTACGTAGTTCCAAATGTGGAAGAAGGTAAAAAGGGAGTGTTATTTACTGTTCCTTCCCCAAGTCCTACCTATAATTTTTTATTTTCAGAAAGAAATATTTAATAGGGGCTTAAAAACAGAAGCCATGTCTGTGTCTTGGGTGAGAGTGAGACAAGATGGTGGATCCCTTGCCATTACTACTGAGACCCACGGCTTATAAACCATCCTACCTATAATTTTTTATTTTTATGTATTTACTTTTTGAGACGGGGTCTTGTTCCATCACCTGTCGAGGCTCACTGCAGCCTTGACCTCCCAAGCTCAATTGATCCTCCCACCTCAGCCTCCCCAGTAGCTGGATCTACAGGTGTGTACCATGACACCCAGCTAAATTTTTAAATTTTTTATGGAATCTTACTATTGCCCAGGCTGGTCTTGAACTCCTAGTCTCAAACAGTTCTCCTGACTTGACCTTCCAAAGTTCTGGGATTACACGTTTGAGCAACTGTCCCTGGCCATTACTTATAATTTTTTAAATGAACATAATTGACACGTGTCATAACAAAGACTGTCACATTTTAATGTCTTTTCCTGACTCAGTATAAAACTACAACTAGTATTTGTAAATGTATAACTTTATATATAAAGTAAATTGCACTCAAATTATTCCATAAATTTTGACCTTTTTTCTCATTGTAGTTCAATCTTAGATTTTATGGGAAATATATACAAGAATTTCTTTGCACAGATGGTCAAATTTTTTCCAGTAGAATGATCTTTTACTTAAAATAATAAAAGAGTTCTCTGAGCTATTCACATGTTCACTTTAGAAAAAATTGCCATTAAATGTAGATTACCAGCAGTCACCTTTTTAGTTGGTAGAAAATTGGGATGCAGCTCTAAACTTTAGAAAAAAAAAAAAGCTCTAATTTTTTAGTTACGAAACATAGCTGACTTCTTTTCACTCTACGTTATTGGGCTTTTTATAGGACTCTTTTTTTTTTTTTTTTGTGTGGAGACAGAGTCTTACTCTGTCACCCAGGCTGGAGTGCAGTGGACAGATCTTGGCTCACTGCAACTTCAGCCTCCCAGGTACAAGCGATTCTCCTGCCTGAGTAGGTGAGATTACAGGTGCGCACCACCACACCCAGCTAATTTTTGTATTTTTAGTAGAGACAGGGTTTCACCATGTTGGTTAGGCTGGTCTCAAACTCCTGACCTTGTGATCTGCCCGCCTCGGCCTCCCAAAGTGCTGGGATTACAGGTGTGAGCCACGCACCCGGCCAAGACTTGGTGTTTTAATCTCTACCTTGGGATTTTAGATGATTTTTTTCCCCCCATCAGTTGAGATTTGATAATGGAATGAAGTACAATTGTTTAGAGCAAATGCAATACAACCTGAATTCAGTCTTATCTGTTTAATTATATATAAGAATTTTACCTATTGATATCTAGAATAGAATGTGAATCCTATATAAATGGGCACTAAGGAATATTTGGATTACTTAGACAAGTTTTTTCTTTTAATGTAAGTTAATTTTGTAAAGCTTGTGCTACAAGTAATACAGGAAATATGTTCTTTGTTTTGTACTTGGTTAGGTAGTTCAACTACAGGAATGGATGATTAAAAGCATCAATAATAATACTGCTATATGTGTGGAAGGAAAATTGATGTAAGTATAATATTTCAATATTCTTTTAATAAAACTTTAGTTATATGTAAGCACTTAAAAGGTGATGCATGAGAAATAGTACCTTCCACAAAACAAAGACATGATGGGGTTATGAACTGAAGGCAAACAAGTAAAATTACTCTGCAGGTCCTAGCCACATTCATTGCTACCAGCTTTCTTGTTTTTGCATGTTTACTCAAGTTTTTTAAAAATAGTGACAGTTCAAATTTGTATAGTGCTTCATTTTTTTCTGAAGTGCTAATAAGTGGGCTGGTATTATCTGCTTAATTATATATGATAACTTAATATTTACTACATGCATTTCAGTCCAGATTCTCATACCTAAATTGGGACAACCAGATATAAATTACTGATCCAGAAAAGGAATCAAAATTACTTAAAACTTTTCCATAAAGCTACATATTAAGTAATGATTGGCACTGTCTGGTTCTCCCTAAAGTGAGAGCATTATCAGGTAAGAAGGCTTTACCTAATTCTGCTACTGTCTTAGCACCATTTCCTATTCTTCAAGACCAGTTTCTTAGTGCTGCAAATATTTGTAATAAAAGCTTATAACTTCTTCGGCCTGGGTGACAGAGCGAGACTCATCTCAAAAAAAAAAAAAAAAGTTGTAACTATTTAAGGTACTTGTATAGTCCATTCTTTATCTGTCTGCCTTGTGCCCATTTCCTTACTCTTCAAGATGATGCAGTGTAGATTGCCTTTGTTGGAATTACGTTGCTGCTGCTTACTATTTGTATTACCTGGGAAAGTTACACTTATCCCCTGTCAATCTGTTTCTTCATCTGCACAATGTGGATAATTGTATTACTTAGACCTTGTTAGTTTTGTTAAGGATTCAATGAAAGTCTAGAGAACCGTGCTTTCAGAGTGTTATTTAAGTGTTTCTTAAATAAGTAAATAAAGCAGAAAAAGAACCGAAGAGAAGTAACACTGTATTAAGGTATACTGTATGAGTTTAATTCCAATTGACCAAAGTAAAGTAACTTGACTTCCTTATTTGTCATGCTTATCATTTGTATGTTTATTATTATTAGTTATCTGATGAATGGGACGGTGTTCATCATTTATTTTATACATCTTCATATGTATTATTTCATATTCTTTAAAGAAATATGAAGAAAACACAAGATTAGCTGGATCCAATCTACTTCTCTGCATAAAAGCTAACAAAGTATAGATCCTGAAAGAGAGGGGCAAGGAGATCATTCTTTGGAAGCTCAGCATCAATTAAGCTGAAGCTTCAAGTATTTATTGCCAGCATCAGATATTTAGACAAGGCCCTTGCTCCCTTACAATAATATTTTATAGGAGGAACATGGTTTGGCCACAGTATAGTTTTTTTGGTACACAATCTGAGGATTACAATAGCCAAGCAGTTGAGTTCTGCTGTAATGTTTGGCCCTCAAATATTTTGTAATTAGACAAATAGCATTGTTAGTGTTGCTGTAGCTAGAGTGTAAAATTATTTTCTGTTACAAATTTGTATGTGAATATTTTAACCTTACCAAAACTATTTTTTTCTTTAGAGATATCACTAATATATACTGGCACAGTAATGTAATTATAGAGCGGATTGAGCACAACAAACTTAGGACTTTATCAGGCAACATTTATATATTAAAAGGCATGATAGACCGATTTTCCATGAAAGAAGCAGGTAAATGTCTTTATTGATAAGTTGTTTTAAGAAGTAAAGCAATTAACTATATTTCTCACAGTAATATACTTTAACTTTTTAATTAGGTATTTTTAAATTATGAATAAATCTGAACTAAAAATTAAAACATAACTGATACTATGTAAAACTTTTATTAAATTGATAATTTTTTCTGACTTTTATTACTCTTATTGACAATTTTAAATAAGTTATGTGATTTGTGTGTGTGTGTGTTTTAAGACAGAGCCTCGCTCTGTCACCCAGTCTGGAGTGCAGTGGCATAATCTCGGTTTACTGCAACCTCTGCCTCCAGGGTTCAAGTGATTGTTCTGCCTCAGCCTCCTAAATAGCCAGGACTACAGGTGCCTGCCACAATGCCCTGCTAATTTTTGTATTTTTAGTGGAGATGGCGTTTCACCAGGCTGTTCCTGCTCATGACCACTTCCAACATGGCACAAAAAAATAATGCAATAGCAACTGCAGCAGTTGTGGATAATTAAGTATGGAGCATCACCCTGGTTCCATAAGGCCAGTCCTTTTCATGCACATTATCCACCTATGCCCCCAGGGAATGGATACAGAAGTGTAAGAGACTTGGGATTTTTTTTTTTTTTTTTTTTTTTTTTTTTTTTGAGACAGTCTTGCTCTGTCATCCAGGCTGGAGTGCAGTGGTCAATCTCAGCTCACTGCAACCTCCACTGTGCCACAGTGCCCACCTGATTTTTGAGACAGGGTGTCACCATGTTGGCCATACTGGTCTTGAATTTGTGACCTCAGGTGTTCTGCCTGCCTCAGCCTCCCAAAGTGCTGGGATTATCGGTGTGAGCCACCGCGCCCAGTCTAAATTGGGTGATTATTTAAAAATCAAATTCAGTACTCCTATTTATAAAGAATTAGGTTATAAGAATATAACTTAACTCCTTAATTCCTCTCTTTGTTGAAACTACCTGGCACAACCCCATTCCTGGTGTAACCTGATTTTCTACCTATGCTTTGTACACAGCTGAATATAACTGGAGAAAAACACATCCAAGTAGTCTACTTTAAATTTATGTTTACTAGCAAGAAGTCATAGTCCCTTAGTGATTTCTTGGTGCTGCTTGGTATCCTACCATATTTCTCTAATTTATTCTCTCTCCCATCCTTCATGATGACTCCATATTTTGAGAAGTCTCTAATACCTCCTCCTTTACCCTCTCTCAGGTGGGCAGAGTAGGGGAGAGAGCAAAGCACCTGAGCAATAGGAACAATTAGAAGAATTTTTTTTTTTTAATACCATATCCGCTCACCTGCTTGGATCAGCACCTGGTTTTATTATGAATGAACTAACACATTACTGTCTATGTCAGCCTCTCCATTTGTACACTAGCTCTCATTTTCTCTTTTACGCAAGGACATTATTCTAGTAATTCTCCCTTCTCTATTTCTTTTAAAAAAATCCATCTTTTAATTGCATTTCTCCTTTTGGCCACTATTGTTCTCATTTATAGCAAAACAACTCATAGTTTGTTTATATTTACTACTGTAAATCTAATTTTTCTTGAATTTTCTTTTTTTTCTTGAACTCTTTAATCTCCAGTTATTCACCAAAACCACCCATATCAAGGTCACCAGTGGCCTCCATATTGCTACATCCGGTATACATTTAACAGAGCTCATCATGCTTAACTTCTTGAAATACTTTATTTAGCTTCTCTAATACCATATTCCAATTTTTATGCTGCCTCACTGCCTGTTCCTTCTTACTTTCTTTGTGTGTTTCTCTGTTTCTTCTTTACCTCTGCATAATGTGGTAGCTTGGGGCTCTTTCTATTAATATACACCATGGTGTGCTGATTCCTTTAGGCTTTTAAAAATAATTTGTATGATGATGAACAGCAGTTTTATGTCTCAAACCAAGACCTCTCCCCTTAGTACCAGTTCATTTTCCACCTGTTTATTTGACATCTCCACTAGGATGTCTGTAGGCATTTTGAACTTAATGTATCTAAAACCTGATCTTTTCCATTAAATTTGCTAAACTGATAGACTTCCCCATCTTTCCATTAGTCCAGTGGTTAGCCAGAATTCTTGGAGGCATCTTTAAATTCTCAGTTTCTCTCATATCCACATCAGTGTGTGTGTGCGTGTGTGTCAGTGCGTCCTATTAATATATCTCCAAAATATATCCCAAACTCAGACCTCTGCAGCCTCATTATAGTCCAGACTTTCCTCATCTTTTCATCTGGATCATTACAATGGCCTTCTGACTGGTCTCATTCTTTCTCCCCTTGCTCTTCCACAGGCTCTTCTCAAAATAGCAGTTTACTTTAGCAGTCCTATTAAAGTAAACTAGATCCTGTATCTCCTCTGCTTGGAATCTTTCCATAGCTTTTCATCTTGTCCAAAGTAAATGGCCAGTTCTATAAAATGACTCTAATAGTCTTGTATTATAATCTCTCACACTTCCTACTGCCTCTGTTACTCATCTGAATGGCCTCCTAAGTCCTAACCCCTCCTTATGCCAAGTCAAGTATACTAGCCTCCTGATTGTTTCAGACAGGTCAGGTATACTATTGTTTTTCACTTTCTGTTTTCTGTTTCCAGCATTCTAACCCTATATTGCCACATAGTTCAGTCACTTTGTTCAAATGATGCTATTTCATTAAAGACTTCCCTGATTATCCTTTTTTAAATATCTGTTCACCCCTCTACTCCTCCATGAACGTACTGATATCCGTATCTACCTTCCCTGTGTAACCATCTAACAAATAAGATATTGTACTTGTTGGTTAGCTTTCTTTATCCACACTATAAGGCAAGTTCCATGAGGATGGGAGTTTTTGTCTGCTTTGTTTACTGCTGAATTCCGAATATCTATTATAGTGTCTGGCATATATTAAGCAATAAGTACATATTTCTTAAATGATTTAATGAATTAATGGTATCTCTTTAAAATTTGAGACTTTTTAATACTTTTTTGTTGTTGTTGTTTATCGTTAAATAGGGTATCCAAACTATCTCATAAGGAAATTTATGTTTGGATTTCCAGAAAATTGGAAAGAGCACATTGATAATTTTCTAGAACAATTAAGGTAAAATGTTGTTTTATGTTTTTAGAAGTCAACTTTATTGAGGTATAATTTACATTTAATTATACGCGTGCCACCACGTTCAGCTAATTTTTGTATTTTTAATAGAAATGGAGTTTTGCTATGTTGGCCAGGCTGTTCTCAAACTCTTGGTTGCAAGTGATCTGCCCACCTCATCCTCCCAAAGTATTGGGATTACAGGTGTGTGCCACTGTGCCTGGCCTGAGGTATAATTTACATTTAACTAAATGTACCTGTTTTAGGTATTTGTTTGAAATGCCAATTTTGAAGTTGCTTTGGTCTGGGAAGCATTTCCGCAGTAGTAACATTTTACTAGAACGTCTGTCATAATCAGTAAATCTCAAAGGAAAATAAAACTTTTGACATATGTCAAGGAGTAATTCTTAATCTTCTGCTCTTCAAAATGCGTGCAGTTATTAAATACTAGTGTACAGTTCTTGCTCCTTCCACTGTAGTTGATGCTGGCGAAACAAAGAAGAATTTGATTACTTCTTGCCCTTATGGAGCACATAGGGGAGACAGAGTTTAAACTTAATCACAGCACAAATGTAGTAATTGATAACAGGAGCTGGCAGGTTTTTTCTGTAAAGGAAATATTCTGCAAAAATAATATTCTTGCAGGCATATTGCCTCTATTGCAGCTATTCAACTCTGCCTTTTTAGCAGAAAAGCAGCCATAGATAATATATACGTGAGTGAGCATGGCAGTGTTTTAATAAACTTTATTTATAAAAGCAGCAACTGGCAGTTGTCTGGTAGTTTTCCTGTATCATCAGTTTAAGTAGGAATTATAAGAGCATATAGTAGAAAGCAGTTAGGAGATCATATTTGAGTCCTTTGACTTAAGTTGTTACACTTCAGTTCTTTGTGAAGGAGGAAGTGGGAGCCATGAAGGATTATAATGTAAGATTAAAGATACCCTGTCTGGGTGGAAAGAGCTTTCTGTGAAGGATATTTATTTGTTTATGAAAGGGTTTTTTTTTTTTTTTTTTTTTTGAGAATCAGTATTAAGGAAAAATAATTGCTTTTAGGGCTGGTGAAAAGAACAGGGAAAAGGCCAGAAAAAAACAGAAAACTCGAAGATCTGTCCCTGACATAAGAAAATCAATGAAAAATGGTGCACAAGAAAACCAAAGAGATACCATTCAAAGAGCCACCACCACTTACAGTCTTGATTATGATAACTCAGGTATGTTTTGTCTTTACTTCTCTGTTGGTACAGTGGTAAATTCTTCCATGATCTACATTGTTTATTGTTTATAATGTGTATAGTATTATATTCTTTGACTTATACTGCCCCAAAATTCTTGCTCCTTCACTACAAAATGAGAAATAACTACAATGCAGATTGATCATAGTCAGCATTCACCTTGCTTCATTAAATGTCACCTATGGCTGGGCCCAGTGACTTAAGCATGTAATCTAACACTTTGAGAGGCTGAGGTATGAGGATTGCTTGAGCCCAAGAGTTCGAGACCAGCCTGGGCAACATGACGAGACCCTGTCTGCTAAAAGTCAAGAAAATTAGCCACACATGGTAGCACATGCCTGTGTTCCCATCTTCTTGGCTAAAGTTGGAGGACCGCTTGAGGTCAGATGGTTGAGGCTGCAGTGAACCTTGTTTGCGCTACTTGACTCTCCAGTTTGGGCATCAGAGTGAGGCCCTGACTCAGTAATGTTAATAATCATCTTTTTATTAATCAGAATACCAAGAACACTGATAAACATATTAATGAAAGATGATTGTTCTTTCAGTTACCTTGACCCAAAGTGTTTAAACTGCCAACCTACCTCAAACCTATTGTAAAGACACATTTTTGTGCCAAATTTCATTCCTCCAAATAGGCAAAATCTGCTTCCTTTTGTGGAGGAAATGAAATTCAAGAAAATGGTTTCCTTGAATGACTGTTTTACAGGAATAAATTGCAGAACTATTCTTTTTTTTACCCCTCTTTTTTTTTTTTGACATGGAGTCTTGCTCTGTCGCCAGGCAGGAGTGCAGTGATGCCATCTTGGCTCACTGCAGCCTCCACCTCCTGGGTTCAAGTGATTCTCCTGCCTCAGCCTCCTGAGTGCTGGGACTACAGGCGTCTGGCAATAAGCCTGGCTAATTTTTGAATTTTTAGTAGAGACAGGGTTTCACCGCATTGGCCAGGATGGTCTCGATCTCTTGACCTCATGATCTGCCCACCTCAGCTTCTCAAAGTGCTGGGATTACAGGCGTGAGCCTCCACGTCCGGCTTTCCTCTTTTTTTTTTTTTTTTTCATAAGGAGACCAACTAGCCAGAGCAGAACTGTTCTGTATCAGGTCTTTGCCAACACTATAATCTGCTTCACATGTATAAAAATGTATGAACATGGCCAGGTGCTGTGGCTCACACCTATAATCCTAGCACTTTGGGAGGCTAAGGTGGTGGATCACCTGAGGTCAAGAGTTTGAGGCTAGCCTGGCCAACATGGTGAAACCCCTTCTCTACTAAAAAAATGCAAAAATTAGCTGGGCATGGTGGCAGGTGCCTGTAATCCCAGCTACTTGGGAGGCTGAGGCAGGAGAATCACTTGAACCGGGGAAGCAGAGGTTGTAGGGAGCTGAGATTGCACCACTGCACTCCAGCCTGGGCAACAGTGAGACTGTCTCAAAAAACAAAAAAAGGTATGAACCTTAATATTAACTTACAGCTCTTTGTGAACAGTATAGATGAGTCAAAGTTACAGAAATATGTTGTAAACATTTCTGCTGATTTTACCTTGACCTTGTAACCAAGAGCTTTACAGAACTTAGAAAAACTTAAAAAAGAGTTCAGGAATCCTTCTACCAAATAGATAGCACAATACTGGATATAAATGTACCTCTATCCTATTCTAACCACTCCCCAGCCCCCATTTGAACTTCAGCCCTTGAAACTGCTTATCCTTTCTAATGCAGAGAACACTATTTAAGGAATAACTTAAATATGTAGATGACTGCCTCCCGAGAGCTAGCAAAAAGTCACTTATCATTGCTCTAGTTCCTTCTCAGTCCTTCCTCTTTTTATCAAAAGTCATTCTATTTTCCCTAAATGAGGCATATTGCTTATTGTTATTGCTGGAACATCTTGAGTATGCTGGAACCTTGGGGATTCAGCACTTGCGATCTACTTTTTTACAACTAAAACAAGAAAATCTTTAAAAGTGTCGTTCACTTTTAATTATTTGTTAGTCTTTAGTCTAGTTCTTATGTCTTCATCTACCCCATTTCACTTAGCGCCAGCACTTATTAGGGATTTGAGCTTAATTGTGAATATTATCAGTAAAGTATTTAAGAAAACTAGTGGCAAGAGAAATTAATACAAATTTAAAAGACTAAAGTTTGGTAAATTATTTTACATATCAGCTGTGTCCTTAGGAAAATCACTCAGCTTTTTTTTTTTGAGACAGGATCTTGCTCTCTGTCCCAGGCTGTAGTACATGGTACACTGCAGCCTCGGCCTCCTTGGTTGAAGTGATCCTCCCACCTCAGCCTCCAAAGTAGCTGGGACTACAGGGATACAGTACTGCACCTGGCTTTTTATTTCTCGTAGAGATGGGAGCCTACTATGTTGCCCAGGCTAGTCTCCTACTCCTGGCCTCAAGTAGCCCTCCCCTCTTAGCCTCCCAAAGTGCTGGGATTATAGACATGAACCATTGCACCGGGCCTCAACATTTTAAAAATGCTTTCCATGAACTCTGGTCTATGTAAAGTTGTAGGAACTTAGAGATGAATACGACAGGAAACCCCTTTCCCCCAGGGATCTTAGTTTAGGGGCAGATATTACTGTATTCTGTTATGGTTGCGTCATTTTTCTAGTATGATTCATTAAATCTTTGTTTAATGAAACTGTTAGACTCTATCTTCATATCACATAAATTTTGAGTGGTGATTGGAGCTGTTAATAATTTTAGTATCATTACTCTTTGCATGAAAAAGACAAAACCACATCTAACATTAAATAGCTAAGGTTATGTAAAGATACCAATCCATGTTAATTTAAGATAATGTAATTGTATGTATGCGTTTTAATGATTTGCCTAAAAAGAACTTGTGTATCATAGTGTTGCTCATAGAGCACTTTATCTCTGTTAATTACACTTACCAAAATATACGATAAATGACCTATCATAATAGAAGCCTCCTTCGTTATATGGTAATATTTTCAAGAGCAAGGACTAGTCAATACATCTTTAAAGTATAGATTCCAGAAGAATAACAAAAAAATGTTTTTATGCTTTTTATGAATTTGTTTTAACTTATCTAGAATTCCAGCTGTGTAACTGTTTGTTGAACATATATACTGTATAATTTAGTTTTGCTCAAAATTTTAATTAGCAGAAATTTAATTATACACGGGAATACATAAACTAGTTGAAACATAATTCTACATACGTGAAGAAATAGGAAAGGAACAATTATTAGCTTTCTCTTTTGTTGATGTGCAATTAGGATGAATTTTTACTTACAAAATGGATTAACCTTATCTTTAGATGTGACAAAGGAGATTCAAAACAAAGGGTCATGAATAATATGGCTGTCTAGGTTTTTTAATTTTTTTAATTTTTATTTTTGAAGAAAAGTGATTTGAACAAAGTATAGCCCTATATAAAATTATTCTGTCCAAATACAATTGCTTTATATCATAGTCAAATTAATAACAAATATTTATGACATTAATTAGACAGATTTTCTTTCAAAATTATCATTATTTCTGAGAGTGTTGCTCTGTCACCCAGACTGGAGTGCAGTGGCACAATCATAGCTCACTGCAGCCTTGACCTTCCTGGCTCAAGTGATCCTCCCACTTCAAGCTTCCAAGTATTTGGGACCATAGGCATGCACCAACCTTTTATTTTTTGTAGAATCAGTGTATCACTATTTTGCCTAGGCTAGTCTTGAACTACTGGGCTCAAGCAGTCCTCCTCTCTCGCCGCTGAAAGTGCTGGGATTACAGCCGTGAGCCACCACACCTAGCCTCAAAGTTAATTCTTCATGCCGTGAGCCACCACACCTAGCCTCAAAGTTAATTCTTCATGTAGAAAAGCAGCTTACCTTTTATATAATCATTGATTGAGATCTCCATCTTTGTATTCATAGAACTAAAGAATAATAAGCACAGTGAGTTGCCAGGGGCTACAGAATTAAATATGTGCCACAGTAATTGCCAAAGTAAGCCATCATTAAGGTTCCCAGATGACCAAATAAATAATACCATTCAAAATGAAAGAGGATATGACTTATCTAATCAGGTAAGGCATTATTGTACACTGCATAGTACAAGTTGATATTTAGAGGGGTGATTTACTACGGAAAAGGTTTGGGACCATATCACGGACATGAGTTTCTCTCTGTCTCTCTCTCTCTCTCTCTCTCTCTCTCTCTCTCTCCTCTCTCTCCTCTCTCTCTCTCTCTCTCTCTCTCCTCTCTCTCTCTCTCTCTCTCTCTCTCTGTGTGTGTGTGTGTGTGTGTGTGTGTGTGTGTGTGTGTGGTTTGGGACCATATCAGGGACATAAGTTCTGTGTGTTGGGGGGGGTTGGGACCATATCAGGGACATGAGTTCTGTGTGTGTCTGTGTGTGTGGGGTTTGGGACCATATCAGGGGCATGAGTTCTGTGTGTGTGTGTGTTTATGAGACACATTTCCCTCTGTTGCCTAGGGTGTAGTGTAGTGGCGTGATCTCTGCTAACTGCAACCTCTGCCTCAGCTTCCTGAGTAGCTGGGACTATAGGTGCGCGCCAGCACGCCTGGCTAATTTTTGTAGTTTTAGTAGAGACGGGGTTTTACTATATTGGCCAGGCTGGTCTAGAACTCCGTACCTTGTGATCCACCCGCCTCAGCCTCCTGAAATGCTGGGATTATAGACATGAGCTGCGCTCAGCTTTTCATTAACTTGGGGACTGAATGTCTTGATATTTATTTTCCCTGTCTCTCATTGACAGAATGCAGGCAACAATAAAAGTTTTAGCTTTTAGAGAAAAAGCTTCAATTAAATAAAGTATATTTTTAAAAGCACTTGAAACACCACAAAAAATTAAATTAATAAAGAAAATACATAGGATAATGGATAACCATATGTTGCTCATAGCGCTCAAGCTCTGGCAAATGAGTTTCTGAATGTGTCCACTAGTGAAATTTGTGGAACTGTAAGTACCTAGAAATTTGTATGCTTGATACATACTATGAAAATCCTTCAGATCATGTTTAGGTAGTAGTTTTGAAATAAAACCTAATTATGTTTTTGTTTTGAAGGAATTAATTGGAAAAAAAGAATATAAAATGTCTTCAAAGAAACTAAAAAATGGTGAAAGAACAAATGAAAAGTTAATAAAAAGTCAGAAGCAAGGTAATATATTTTTCATGGTTTTTTAATGATAAGCAGAAAGCTACTATTAGAAATGTTTTTATATGATAAAAGTGATCTTGTAATCTCCTAGTGTAAAATGGCAAATTATTTAATGGTTTTAAATGTTTGGTTTTGTTATTTTTACATAAGATGATTTGCATAATAAAATAACCCATTTAAATGCCACCTATATTTACAGGTTTGCGCTCTTTAATCTGGGTACTAAAAGATTTGTTTAGATCACAAAATTATCATTTAAAATATGCTTACAGGAATGTGTAAAGACTGAATCCTTTTATGACTTTAATACAATAATTTTGTTTTGTTTAAGTGTGGATTTTTAGAGTGATTTAATTGGAATCCTGCAGGCCATAATTTAGAGCCTTTCCTCTAACATTAGGAAGTTTACAGTCTCATGTTGAGCTAAAGCCATTAGTTTTATAGCATTTTTTCAGTTTTATTTCTTGTAAGTGAAAAGTGAAAGTGAAGAACATTTATTTGTTTGAAGAAGAAGATAGGAAGGCGCTGCTACTTAGATTCGTTTATGCAAATTGGGTTACAGTATCCAAGACAGCTGGATCTTTATTAAATGATTTATTAAAATTAACAAATATTCTGAATGGAAGTATTGTTCAGAATTAGAATGTTGAAATTTTTCAAATTCCCAGTTGAACATTTGAATTAGATTTGTATGAGGAATTAGAAGAAAATACTTCTCTCGTAATTTGAAGATACATGATGCCAGTGGAAAATCTTATAGAAATTTTCTAAATTATTTTGATTAGTACCTTTTTCCATGGATTATAATTTAGAGGCTTCTTTTCTCCCCAGCATTCAGTATTATCCATCAGTCTCATTTTGTCAGTCATCTTGTAAACAATGGCACATAATATGTGGAGGTTATAGTATGTTTCTATGACAATTGGTGGGATGATTTGCAGTTTACATGTATTTCTGATTACAGTTGGATAGGTCAGTTTCAGTTAGTTTGACTTCTCATGACTTAGGTTTTGAATTGGTAAATTGTTCTCATTTTAATTTGCTTTCTTTAGTGACGAGGTATAAGATTCTCAGGTTCTGTTTTTCTTGTTCTGTACTTCATGGCGTTTGGGGGCATTCAGTTTTGGTATGTTTCTTTGACACATCATTGGCAATGAAAGTGGAGCCATGCAGATGGAGTTCCATGTTTTCCTAACTAGCACAGCTCATATAATACATACTTAGTAAGGTTTCAATGACTGCTGGATTTCTTGCATCTTCTGAATATTTTACCTCCAGGGCATTGATTTAACAAGTATTTACTTATTGTTTACTGTATATGTGAAAGGCTCTGTACTAACTCCAGCAAAAAAAAAATCAAACCATAAAGATAAAGTTCTAACCATTAATAATCTTTTTCAGTCTGATTGAAAGACAGGTGTGCAATTATAGTACCGGACTCACTGTCAAACATGGCATTATTTTAAAGTATTCTGGAAACTTGCAGGAGAGCTTTCATTCAGTATAGGGAATGTGTACAAGTTTGTACACTAGGTGGGTTAGAGAATAAAACTGAAGTAAGTAGTGATTTTGTTTATAGCTGAGTGAAGAACATTCTTTTCTTCTCTCCCCTCTTCTGCCCTCCCCTTCCTCTTCTCTTCTCTCTTCTCTCTCCTCTCTTCTCTCTGATGGAGTCTTGCTCTGTCACCCAGTCTGGAGTACAGTGGCACAATCTCGGCTCGCTGCAACCTCTGCCTCCCAGGTTCAAGCGATTCTCCTGCCTCAGCCTCCTGAGTAGTTGGGACCAGAGGCACTTGCCACCACATCCAGCTAATATTTTGTACTTTTTAGTAGAGATGGTGTTTCACCGTGTTAGCCAGGATGGTCTCAATCTCCTGACCTCGTGATACACCTGCCTCAGCCTCCCAAAATGCGGGGATTACAGGCGTGAGCCACCGCGCCTGGCCAGAACATTTTCAAAGCAGAGTGAACAACATTAATGAAAGTTACAAACCAAGAAAATCTGAGAAATAGCAAGTGGTGTAGTTCTAAACATAGAATATAGTTGAGGTTTTGAGAACACTGAGAGATCAGAACTATGTAGAAGGCCAGGCAAAGGAGCTTACTTATATGTCTACTAGAACACTGTGAGAAGTCACTGACAGGTTTGTATTAACAATAGTATATGTTTATAATTGAAGGGACAGTGGTCTGAATAGACCTGGGCATGAGAAAGATTAACATGACAGGAGGGTATATAGTGTAGCGCGGGGATAAAAATGGTATATTGTGAAAATATATTTTCTTTGCTTATATTTGTTTATAACTAATTTGAGATTTTGGTCTTTGGTTTTTGTCTAACAAAATTAAAGAGACAACTGAAGAATCGGATATATCCATTGACATTCTAACCTCAAGGGAACAGTTTGTCCCAGATGAAGAAAGAAAATACATCACCATCAATCAGAGAAAAGCTTGTATTTTAGTAACACCACTTAAATCTAGAAAAGTGATAGAGCAAAGATGCATGAGATATAATCTGTCCTCTGACACCATTAAAGCAGTAACAGATTTTGTAACGCCAGAGCATCAAAAAGAAAGTCCTGTCAACAAGTCCATGGGGACTTCAGAAAATACATTTGAAGATTGTAAAAGTAAAAACAAGGAAGATTGCAATGAACGTGATTTACTTAGTGTCAGCAAGAAAATAAAAATATCTAACCTTGAAAAGGAACAAATGCTCACCTCTGACTCTAAGAAAAATGCCAAGTTGTTACCAAAATTAAAGAAAATAGAAAATCAGGTAGCTATGTCATTTTATAAGCATCAGTCCTCACCAGATTTATCAAGTGAAGAAAGTGAAACAGAAAAGGAAATTAAAAGGAAAGCTGGAGTTGTTAAGAAAACCAAAGCAAGAAATACCAAAGAACTGGTGGTTCACCTGAGAAAGAGCACAAGAAATACCACAAGTAATATTCCAATGATTTCAGAACCTGCAACTGAAGAAAATGAAAATGAATTTTATGTCAAACAAAAGAAAGCTAGACCTGTTGTCAAAGAAACTCTTCAGAAGTCTTGTGTTAGGAAAGAGTTTCCAATTACTGAGGCAATAGGAGCTGAGAAGTCAAATATGCATTCCTTAGAATGTTTACCTGGTTTAATTCAGGATAAGGAATGGAATGAGGAGGAGTTACAGAAGCTTCATTGGTAAGTATTTAGATTTGATTCTGAAATATCTAAAGAGCAGCCATAAAACAACCCCTGATTGTTGAATTAATGACTTCTGACAAGTAACATGGAAGGGGTTGAATTAATGACTTCTGACAAGTAACATGGAAGATGTCACCCAGAAAAATGGGAGAAATTACAGTTTGTACAGGGAATGGTGATAGAATACAGATAACTTCTCGTGGTATTTTGTGGTCATCTCTAATATGAGGAAAGTGTGAGGAAAGCCTATATATGAAGAAAGCAAAAGTGACTTTCTTTTCATTCCCATGTAATATTTCAAGGTAGCCAGATGGTACTCTGTCACATAGCTTCATAGTTTAAGAAATGGTTTATAATTAACTTTACTATTATAAAACCATAAAGCTGAATTCAGATTTGCAGGTTACTTAATGTAATCTTTTTCCTTTCATTTATAGGGAATAAAACGGAGTTTCAAATTGATGTTTTTTTCCCCAGATTTTATACTTAGAACAGAAATTCAAGTAAAGCTCAGTTAAGAACCTGCTCTTTCTCCAACTCCATTAGCTCTGTGCCTTAAGGAAAAAAAAAGAACCTACTCTTTCATTCATTCATTCAACATTGACTTATTGGGTAGTTACTATATACCAATTAGTTTGGAATGTTTGGAGATACAGAAATAAAATAGACAGGGTTCTTTTCTTCAAGGAGCAATTTAATAGGGAAGATAGATAATAGAAAAGCAAGCCAGTAAATAAAAATAACTAATAAATTGTGATACATTCTTTGAAGGAAGCAGACATGAAGCTGATACGGGGAACTGTAGGTAGTATTATAGGGAAAGCTTTCTTTTGGTCGATGTTACTTAAATGGAGATAAAGGATTACATGGTGTCACCCGTATGAAGAACTGGGGAAACCGCATTCCAGGAACAGAGAACAACCTAAACAAAGGTCCTAATGCTAGGAAAATGTTGATATGGGAGGAACTAGAATAAGATGACTGTTTTTGAGCATAATGAGTTGTAGGGGAATGGCTTGAGGTGTGAGCAGAAAGAGGCTGTGACTATATTGGGCACAACCTTCTAGGTCATGCTTAAGAGTTTTTCTTTTGATTTTAGTTGTAATAAAAAGACGTTTAAGGAAGGCATGATACAGTTTAAGAAGATTCCTTTGGGGAGGTAGACAAGGCAGTAATTGTGGGGTTGTTGGAGTAATCCATTGTGATCTGCACTGATATGGGAGCTGTAAAGATGGAGAAAATCAGTTTAAATCTAGCAATATTTGTACAGTATCAAATACAAATTCTACCAATTGTATGGCACCTGACCTAAATAACTTGGTAGATGGTGGTGTGGGAAATATTTGAGGAAAGGATAAGTTGAGATTGGGAATTGAATTTCTTTTTAGACATGTTCTATTTGGATTGGCTGTTAAGAGGCAGGTTTCAGTGAGTTCTAGGCTACAATATAACTTTAGTAAGCATAAAGATGGTATTTGAATCCAGTAGATTGAAATGATGAGAAAATATAAGGAGATGGTGTAAAGAGAACAAGGACATAGGCTGGGTGCTATGGCTCATGCCTGTAATCCCAGCACAGCACTTTGGAGGCCGAGGCGGGTGGATCACGAGGTTAGGAGTTTGAGACCAGCCTTGCCAATATGGTGAAACCCTGTCTCCACTAAAAATACAAAAATTAGCTCAGTGTGGTGGCATGCACCTGTAGTCCCAGCTGCTCAGGAGGCTGAGGCAGGAGAAGAACTTGAACTCTGGAGGCGGAGGTTGCAGAGCATTGAGATCGTACCACTACACCCCAGACTGGGTGACAGAGCAAGACTCCATCTCAAAAAAAAAAAAAAAAAAATTAGAGAATAGGGCATAATCTTGAGATCTGAGAAAAGTATTTAAAGGAGGGAGAGGAGCAGCAGGCCAATAAGTGGGGAAAACCCAGGACCAAGTTGTATTGTGGAGACGCATCGTGAGAGTCTTTCAAAAGTGTCGGAGTGATTTGTGGTGCCCATTGCTGCTGTTAAATCAGGTATATTAAGAATTGGATATGGTGGCTGGGCGCACTGGGTCACACCTGTAATCCCAGCACTTTAGGAGGCCAAGGTGTGGACAGATCACAAGGTCAGTAGATCAAGATCATGTTGGCCAACATGGTGAAACTCTGTCTCTACTAAAAATACAAAAATTGGCTGGGCATGGTGGCATATGCCTGTAGTCCCAGCTACTTGGGAGGCTGAAGCAGGAGAATTGCTTGAACCAGGGAATCAGAGGTTGCAGTGAGCCCAGGTCATGCCACTGCACTCCAGCCTGGCGAAAGAGTGAGACTCCGTCTCAAAAAAAAAAAAAAAGAATTGGGTATGGCTACATAAATTTACATTTCAGTGGTCTGGTAGTATTGGAAACCAGATCATAGTTGAGTCATTAAAAGTGAATTGAAGGGTAAAGAGACAGCCTAGATAGACCACATAAGAAATTTGGCAATGATGGGGAATAAGAAAATGCAGATAATAGAAGAGAATGTGAAGATAAAGGAAGATGTTTGGTTGCTTACTTGCTTATTTGTTTGTTAAGATGGCTGTTGCAAGAGTATGATGGTATGCTGATAGAAGTGATCTAGTGAAAAGAAAGGTAGATATGATCGATAAAGGCGAGGAAGAGAACACAAAACTGTACCACATCTAGTGTTCTACTGCCTTGTATACACCTCAGCCTTACAACAATTATAATTCATTTTGTATTTGCCTTTTGAAATACTGTTCCTAGAGCATCTCTGTGAAATTGTACTCTTCCTTTTATAATTTTCTAAATATTCCTTCTCTGTCTTAATTTCAGGCAGAAAAGGTAATCTTCCTTCTTATTCCCCCCAGATTTTTTTCTTGTCTGCTTTCTTGCTGTAGAATACCCTCAGTGATCTTTTGTCCTCACAAAATTCTTTTTTTGTACAATGAGTCCCCAGTGTGTGTCTCTAGCCCTGAATTTTTGTATTTAGATTTGTATTTCCTGTTGCCTGATGGGCATTACTATATACACCTCACCTATGGGTCTGACATAGTATGTCAAAAGCAAACGTATTTTCCCCTGCTTGCCTACTTTGCTAACATTTCTTTTTCTGGAAATGTAATTTTTGTTTGTTTGTTCGTTTTTTGGCAATGTAATTCTTTCCACCAACTCTTTTAAATTCTTTGTCATTGATTTTTTAAAAAATTCAATTCGTTGCCAAAAAGCTATTCCACAGAGTCGTTCTGTCTGCATCCTCTTTTCTTGACACTACCCTTTTAGATCTATGATGTATTTTATCTGAACTATGGAAGTAATCTTATTTGTAGTTTCTTCTTTTTGCCTGTGTAACCTTTTTTATACATCTCCAGGTTAGTCTTTATACATAGTTGTGGTTCCGATCAAAAACTTTCATTGCATTCTTACTAATCTTCAGATTATGTAAAGATTCTTCTGCCTTGCATTGAGAGCAATCCATATTATAGTCTTGATTATCCTTTCCAGCTATATCCCCTATTTTTTCCTTATAATAATGCTTCTTAACCTTTACTGTATATTCATATCATCTGAGGAGATTTTACAATACCTGAACTGTAGAGATTCCAGTTCCCAGTAAAGTGGAATAAGTACACTCCACTCTATTCTTTCTGTGCACCTGTAAAACCTAGAGGCCAGTGCGGTGGCCCATGCCTGTAATCCCGGCACTTTGGAAGGCCGAGGCAGGTGGATCATCTGAAGTCAGAAGTTTGAGACCAGCTCTGTCAATGTAGTGAAACCCCGTCTCTACTAAAGATACAAAAATTAGCAGGTCATAGTGGCACATGCCTGTAATCCCAGCTACTCTGGAGGCTGAGGCAGGAGAATAGCTTTAGCCCAGGAGGCAGAGGTTACAGTGAGCCAAGATTGCACCATTGCACTCCAGCTTGGGCAACAAGAGCGAAACTTTGTCTCAAAAAAAAAAAAGAAAGAAAGAAAGAAAGACACCTAGACAGAATGCATGATGTGGCTTTTTGTTGACTTAAAAAAGTAAATAATCGCAGGTCGATTGTAGACTGGAATTTTAAGTACCACTAAATCATCAATGAGTTTCTAGTTCTCCAGTTCTGGGTTAAGGAGCAGGAAGGAGGACTTCTAACACTAAGAAACAATAGAGGAAATTCGTTGTTTTCTTTTATCTTTTTTCTTAGCTCAGTTCCCATGCAATCCTGCAGGGGCTACAATCACATTATCAGCTGAGGCTGAGGTATATCTAAAACTCAGAGATGAGAACCTCCTCTACAATTAGGATTGGTTGTCTCAAAATAGTGAGGCAAGTACCTGTTGCTTCTGTTCTCTTTCTGTTGGCTGTTGCTTGGTACTGGACAAAAATTCAGTTGTGTGAAGCATATAGCAGAGCAGAGTAATGAAAGCCCAAGCTTTCTGGCCAGTGAACTGACAAGGGAAACTCCTAGGAACCAGAAATCACAGAGAGAGAGAGAGAAACTGGCAACCCCATAAAATTGTTTATGAACTTCTGTGCCCACCCAGGAGTTGTACATATGTGGACGTGGTCCTAAACAGCATATAGTCTTTGAGAACTGAACTAAACTGAGCTAACTGAAATTAGACCACACCTAGTTTCAAGGCTTGCTACTCAGTATATCCAAACACAGGATAGATCCTAATAGCACTGAAGAGCTTTGAAAAATGAAACTGACACTGAAACAACAATGATAGTAGACTGAATGGATAGCTTGGGATATAAGCAGTTTGATGACCTACTAAAAGAAAAATATTAACATTTCCCTTGAAGCTGTAAAATACTGATTCTAAGCAGACTGTTGAAGTTAAATATATTTAATGTCATCCCTAGAGCAACTTCTAAAAAAAACTATTCAAAGAGATAAATTCAAACATATAAATTAAAATACCAGAAAATCAAATAGCCCAAAAGAAGGCAAAAAAGAAGAGAAATGGAGGAAGTTTTTATGTGGAACAAGCGGAAAACAAATAATAAAATGATTGACCTAAATCCAGCATAATTAAATTAAACGGTCTAATATACCAATTAAAAGGCACATTGTCACAATGAATTTAAAAACTTGATCTAACTATAAGCTGTATACAAGAAATTCACTTTAAATATAATGATGTAGGTAGGTTACAAGGATTGAAAAGTATCATATAAACACAAATCAAGAGAAAGCTTGAGTGGCTGTATTAATTTCTGTCAAAATAGATTTTAGTAGGAAGAAAATTATCAGGAGTAAAGAAAGACATTACAAATGATAGAAGGGTCAGTCACAAGGAAGCCATAAAATTCCTAAGTGTATATGCACCTAACAATAAAACCTCAAAATACATGAGTTAAAAACTGACAACTGAAAGCAGCAGACTAAACTACAAGGATAGTCAAATCTACTCATCTCTTGGTATTAGATAGGACTTGTTGACAGAAAATTAGCAAGGATATAGAACTGAGTAACACCATCAGTCATTTGTATTTGATTCACATTTACAGAATATTTCACCCAATAATAAGAAAAAGAATACATTATTTCCAAGGATAGGTTTGATAATTCATCAAGATAGAACATATACCAGATCATAAAACATCTTCACAAATTTAAAATAGCTGAAATCATACAAAGCATGTTCTCTCATAATTGAATTAAACTATAAATCAATAAAAGGAAAATTTCCAAATGGTTGAAAATTAAATAACTTATAAATACATATAAATAATCTGTAAGTCAATGAAGAAGGCTCAAGGAAAAGTAAAAAATTCTCTCTTTTTTTTTTTTTGAGACAGAGACTTGGTCTGTCACCCAGACTGGAGTGCAGTGGTGCAGTCTCGGTTCACTGGACCCTCTACTTCCTGGGTTCAAGCAGTTCTTCTGCCTCAGCCTCCCAGGTAGCTGGGATTACAGGTGTGCACCACCATGCCCAGCTAATTTGTATTGTTAGTGCAGTTGGGGTTTCACCATGTTGGCCAGGCTGGTCTCAAACTCCTGACCTCAAGTGATTCACCTTCCTCAGCCTCCCAAAATGCTAGGATTAAAGGTGTGAGCCACCAGCCTGGCCAGATATTCTTAACTGAACAAAAATGAAAATACATCAAAATTTGCAGGATGGGCCTAGGAGTTCATCAACAACTTTAAAGGGTTGCTGTGCCAATCTCCTCCCTTTCTCTGGTTTCTGTCATACTTTCTGCATAAACAAATTATGATACATTCTTTCAGTGGACTACTAAGCAGTAAGCAGGAAGAACTATTGATACATATAACAACCTGGTTGAATTTCAAAGGCATATTGAATGAGAGAAGCCAACTCAAAGGGCTATATACTATATGATTTCATTTATAGGACATTCTGGAAAAGACAAACTTGAGAGGAAGAAAACAGATTAGGAATTGCAGTGGTTAATATTGTGGGAAGGTGTGACAACAAAAAGGTAGCATGATGGATTTCTTTCCTTGTGGCAGAACTGTTCTGGGTAACCACTTGTGATAACGGTTATGCAGGTCTGTATGTGAAGATTCATAGAACCATATACCAAAAAGTCAACTTTACTGGATGTTAATTTTAAAAATTCATGTTAGAAGTGCATACTGTTAAGATATTCAGATATGGGCTGCCTGGGTTTAAGTATGCTTTTCTAGTTTTTTTTCAAAGTTCTGATTTGCAGCCATTACTTTCAAATTTATCATGCTATGAATATGAACTGTTTGCCATTCCCTAACCAAATGTCATTGTTCCTTATCTTCATTTGTTTGCCAATGTTATTGCCTCATTGTCCACCTGTTGTTATATTTTTATCTATTCTTCAAATTGTATCTCACGTGCTACCTACTTCTTGAAGCCTTTCCCCATCATTACCTGTTTTTGTTAACCACTCAGTTATATGTGATTCTCTTTCTTTTTTTTTCCTTTGAGATGGAGTTTCACTGTTGTTACCCAGACCCAGACTGGAGTGCAATGGCACGATCTCAACTCACCGCAACCTCCGCCTTCTGGGTTCAAGCAATTCTCCTGCCTCAGCCTCCCGAGTAGCTGGGACTACAGGCACGCACGACCATGCCCAGCTAATTTTTGTATTTTGTAGTAGAGACGGGGTTTCACCTTGTTGACCAGGATGGTCTCGATCTCTTGACCTCATGATCCACCCACCTCGGTCTCCCAAAGTGTTGGGATTATAGGCGTGAGCCACCGCACCTGGCCATGATTCTCTTTCTTATGAACAACATAAAAGCAATTTCAATCCTGCCTACACAGCAAAATAATCACAGGCAGGTCCTTTTGAAGAAATGCAAATTACTGACATCTCAGACTTGCTAAATTGAAATCTTCAGGGGTAGAGTCTATCTGCTTATGTTACTTACTCATTTGCTTGTTTGCATTTTTGTTGTAGGCTCCTCAAATGATTCTCAGTTACAGTCCACTGCCTTGTACCCCTCATCATGATTGTAACTGAATAGGGTAGACAGATATTTAGCACATAATCATTGTAGGAAATTTATAAAAATAATACATTTATCAGGGAAGTCTCATCTAATTTATGCCTGGTACTTGAACTAAGATCTGAAGGATAAATAAGAATTATTTAAGCCACCTTAGACAGAACAATGTACTTAAAAGTAGGAATTAAATGGGCATATTTAGAAATACCAAAAGGATGGGGGTGGAGGTGTGCACCTGTAGTGCCAGCCGTGTATTAGTCCATTCTTGCATTGCTATAAAGAAATACCTGAGACTGGGTAACTTAAAAGAGGTTGGCCAGATGTGGTGGCTAACGCCTGTAATCCCAACACGTTGGGAGGCTGAGGCGGGCAGATCACGAGGTCAGTTCGAGACCAGCCTGGGCAGCATGGTGAAACCCTGTCTCTACTAAAAATACAAAAAAATTAGCTGGGCATCGTGGTGCATGCCTGAAATCCCAGCTACTTGGGACACTGAGGCTGGAGAATCACTTGAACTCAGGAGGCAGAGGTTGCAGTGAGCCAAGATCGTACCACTGCACTCCAGCTTAGGCAATGGAGCGAGACTATCTTAAAAAAAAAAAAAGCAAAGAGTTTTAATTGGCTCATGATTCTACTGACTGTACAGAAAGCATAATGCTGGTATCTGTTTAGCTCCTGCAGAGGCCTCAGCAAACACAGTCATGGCAGAAGGTGAAGGGAGGACAGGCATATCACATGGCCAAAGCAGAAGCAAGAGAGCGAGGGGGAGGTGCTACACGCTTTTAAATGACCAGATTACAGGAGAACTCATTATCACGAGTACAGTACCAGGAGGGATGGTGTTAAATAATTCATGAGGAATCTGCCTCCATGATCCAGTCACCTTCCCCTAGGGATTACATTTAGGTATGAGACTTGGGTAGGGACACATATTTAACCTATATCAATAAATAATCATTTAAGCCAAAGATTCAAGACAAATGGATCTTACAATAGCATACACAAAAGTAGAAATGAAAAGGCCTTATTTAGAAGTACTGAAAGAATGGGTGTGGGGTATGTGCCCGTAGTGCCAGCCACTAAGGAGGCAGAGTCAGGAGGATTGCCTGAGCCTGGAAGCTGGAGGCCACATTGAGCTGTAATAGTCCTAGACTTAGAAATTAGCTACACACACAAATAGGGAAGCTTTAGTTCCCAAGTCCTTCTAGTTTTCACTTTAGAATATCTGTGGAATGATTAATTATGTAAGATTCATTAACAAGTATTTAATGCTCATAAGTATTCTTCTCTGCATGGAATAGTATGCTGTGGTCAAACGTAGCTGTTCATAAGAGCTGATTGTTACATTTTGGGGAATTTTACAAATTGAGTGTTAAAGTCATTAAAAATTAAATTATATAAACTTGTAATTAAATTATTCAAAACATAATGCTCAAAACTCATTACTTCCTAATTATTTTACATTTTATTATGTATGCTCTTGAGGCTCTTCACCTTTCTTGTATGGTGGAAATACGATATATATAACTGTGTGCTATCACATATTTTTTTATCAATTCCACAGTCAGTGACATGTTGGTAGCTTGATATCAACCACAGTGGGAGTATTAACCCTGTGGAAATCGTCAGACTATAAATCAGGGCTGTTTAACCCCAGAGAGCTGATTAAAAATTTTCTTGCATACTGCTACAGGAAACCAATATCTACTAATTGGAATCCAAGTAAAAATAAAAAATTTTGTCAAAGAAACATTAAAAATAAAGACTTGGTATAGTTGAAATAACATTGTTAATATCACCTTTAGGCTAATTGATGAGTTACGTAGATGTTTTCTGGCCAAATTGTCAATCTAACCACGATACGTAAAATCTTTTTCTGGGGAGAGTGGGGCTGGTAATGTGTATATCAGGTTCTAAATCATTTACAGAGGAACTTGTAGAATGTAACTCAGATGTTAAATTAGGGACTTCCTTACAGTTTTCTCTGTTTCAGTTTTCATTTTCCTTAAGAGAGCATGTATCTAAAATACTGAGTTCTACAAAGTATAGCAGAATGAAAGCAAGCATAAAACTTTTTAATACTTTATAACCTAGACTATATAAGAGAACTAAAAGCTTATTGTCCAATATACTTATCACCAGTAAGATTTAAGGTAACAGGGTAGAAAATTTGGTCATGCCATAATATCCCAAAAAACCATATCTTCGATTAGTTGTACTTAGGAAAAAAAAATGTTGAAAGACTGAGGGGTTATTTTGCAGGTTTAATAGAACACATCAAAATACTTAGACATCTACTAGATATGCAAAATTACATCTTCATATTTTAAGCACTAGAGTAAGTTATTGGGGGAAGCGAATATCTTTCCTAATTTCATCCAGAATGGTTTTCATAAAACTAATTCCTTCATCCCAGTAAATCTCATTAATTCAGTGGTATGCTTTTAAGAGGTTATTGTCACTGGTTTGATTTTCTTATGCTTTAATTGGTTTTGATCTTCCATAGTGCGTTTGCATCTCTTCCAAAGCACAAACCTGGTTTCTGGTCAAATGTAGCTGCAGCTGTCGGTTCTCGATCTGCTGAAGAATGCCAGAGGAAATACATGGAAAATCCCAGAGGAAAACGATCCCAGAAACATGTCACTAAGAAAAAGCCAGCCAATTCCAAAGACCAAAATGGTAATCTTTATAGCAGTTATTTCCTAGTGCTCAATGTTGATGTCTGATCACTGAAATCAGATGTATTTTATATTTATCCATGTATATTGTTTATAGGTATATTTTCTTAAAATATTAAAGCTAGAAAGAACTTCAGAAATCATTTGTTTAATTTTTTTTTTTTTTTTTTAGGGGGGGAGGAAGGCAGGAAGGAAGGGAAGAAGGACGGTAGGGAGGAAGGAAGGGATGAAGGAAGGAAGGAAGGGAGGAAGCGGGGAGGGAGGGAGGGAGGGAGGGAAGGGAAGAAAGGAAATCAAGCAATGAAAGAGACATTGCCGACCTGGATCTAGAGGTTTACAAGTTGATTTCTTTTTTTTTGAGAGAAGGAAAGAAAAAAAAAAAATAAATAAGTAAAGGAGAGGAAGAAAGAGGGAGAGTAAATGGAAATATTGCTTTATTTTGAAAAAAATTGGGTATTAATAATGGCCAATCAATGTTTCATTTAAACTAATGGGTAGGTGTGATGTGGTATTGACAAGAATGTCTATTTTGTGTATTTGAAGTGGAGAGCTCTATGAATATTTATTAAGTTTACTTGTTCTGGATCTGAATTCGAGTCCTTGATATCCTTATTAATTTTCTGTCTCATTGAATCTAAGTCTCCTATCTGGGTGTTAGGATCGTTAGCTCTTGTTGTTGCATTGATCCTTTTACCACTATGTCTTTGTGGCTTTAAAATCTATTTTATCCGATACAAGAATTGCAACTCCTGCTTTTTATTTATTTATTATTTATTTTTGCTCTCCATTTGGTTGGTAAATCTTTCTCCATCCCTTTGTTTTGAGTCTTTGTGTATCCTTGCATGTGAAACAGGTCTGGATGTAACATGCCGTTGGGTTTTGGCTGTGTCTTTTGATTGGGAATTTAGTCAATTTAAATTTAGGGTTACTGCCATTTGATGTTGACTGGCTGTTTTATCCATGTGTTGGTGTAAATTCTTCTTTATGTTGGTGCTCTTTACTTTTTGGTGTATTTTTAGAAAGGCTAATACTGGTTGTTTCTTTCTGTGTGTAATGCTTCTTTCAGAAGCTCTTGTAAAGCAGGCCTGGTGGTAATAAAATCTCTGAGTTCTTGCTTGTTCATAAAAGATTTTATTTTTCCTTCAGTTGTGAAGCTTAGTTTGGCTGGATATGAAATTCTGGGCTGAAGGTTCTGTTCTTTGAGGATGTTGAATATTGGCCCCCACTCTCTTCTGGCCTGTAGAGTTTCTGCCGAGAGATCTGCTGTAAGTCTGATAGGCTTGCCTTTGTGGGTTATCCGACCTTTCTCTCTGGCTGCCCTTAGTATCCTCTCCTTCGTTTCAACCCTGGTGAATCTAACGATTATGTGCCTTGGGGTTGGTCTTCTTGAGGAATATCTTTGTGGTGTTCTCTGTATTACCTGGGGTTGAATGTTGACCTGCTTTGCTAGTTTCGGAAAATTTTCCTGAATAATATCCTGAAGGGTATTTTCCAGCTTGGATTCATTCTCTCCATCGCATTCAGGTACACCTATCAAACGTAAATTTGGTCTTTTCACATAGTCCCACATTTCTTGGAGACTTTGCTCATTCCTTTTTATCCTTTTTTCTCTAATCTTTTCTTCACGTTTTATTTCATTAAGTTGGACTTTGACCTCTGATATCCCTTCTTCTGCTTGAACAATTCGAGTGTTTAAACCTGTGCATACTTCTCGGAGTTCCTGTATTGTATTCTTCAGTTCCATTAATTCACTCATACTCCTCTCTAAGTTGTCTATTCTCAATAGGATTTCATCAAGCCTTTTTTCAAAGTTCCTAGTTTCTTTACGTTGGGCTACAACATGTTCTTTTAACTCACCGAAGTTTGTCATTATCCATTCCTTGAAGAGTGATTCTGTCATCAGGAGGCGCTCGTTCTCCATCAAGCCTTGTTCCATTGTTGATGTGGAACTGTGATCATCTTTAGAGGGAGAGACGTTCTGACTTAGAGTATTCTCAGCTTTTTTACGCTGGTTTCTTCCCGTCATTGTAAATTTATCCTCCTCTCGTCTTTGAAATTACCAACTTTCAGATTAGGTCTCTTGAGTGGACGTCCAGGTTGTTAGTTCCCGGGGCCAGAGCAGCGGCGTTAAAACTGATGGTGCTTTTCTGCCCAGGATTCTCCTGTCGGGCTTCCTTCTTGTTTCCGTAGTAGGCGACTCTGCCTTCCCGGGGCTCCAAACCTCGGTCAGAAGGGGAACCGGTCCCGTTTACTCTGCTCCGAGAGCTGCCGCGCTGAGGTGCCGGCGGAACCGCTGCGCCGACCACGAGAGTCACGCTGGCGACCCGTGTGTTTCCACCACTGGGGGATCTTCTGCTCCGTGAGCGACCAGACTTTGTCTGAAAGTGTGGCGTCCTCTAGTTCTCGGCGCCTTCCCTGAGAGCTGCAACCCCGGGATGTTAGCGATCGGCCATCTTGGATCGTTCCTCTGTTTAATTTTTAATTCTTACCTAGTTTGCTACTTTCATCAGTAGTAGTATAGTAGCCTTGTGCTTTGAGTTTTAGGAATTCTGCAGTTAGATCCAGAGATTTCAATATCTGAATTATTGTTCTAAGGATTTAATTAAAAAGGCCACTTGGGTCAGATTCCCCAAGTAATTTATGAGAAAGCTCAGAAAAAATGTCATAGTCCCAGGATTGTATACTCCTGTTCGTGATTACAAGTAAAAAGGTATAGTGATTACAAGTAAAAAGGTATATTATGCTAGAGAATTTCTATAATAATCATTAGTGAGCACCCAGTATGCCTGTTGTAATTCAGTAAGGTTTATATATTTTAGCAAAATCAAATTAGGCATAGTATCATGTGGGCTAATCATATTGCACAAATCTCAGATCCCAGTTTAGAAATAATCATTTGTTCTATAGGAGACTTGTAAAATAAGAGGTTAAGTTTTCTTTTTTTTTTTTTTTTTTTCTCCTTTCTTTATATTTTTTATAGATACAGGGTCTCCCTATATTGCCCAGGCAGGTCTCGAACTCCTGGGCTCAAGCATTCCTCCTGCCTTGGCCTTCCGAAGTGCTGGGGTTACAGGCATGAGCCACTGGCGAGGCTGAGTGTTTTTCTTTTTTAACACGAATGCACAATTTAGACCTTGCAAAGGCTGTTAACTTCATAGAGCAGTTACTATAAATAACCAAATCCTTATCAAAATGTTTTGCTATTCAAGGCAAGAGAGGTGATGCTGATCAGAAACAAACTATTAAGATAACTGCCAAAGTGGGAACTCTTAAAAGGAAGCAACAGATGAGGGATTTTCTGGAACAGTTGCCAAAAGATGACCATGATGATTTTTTCAGTACAGCACCTTTACAACATCAAAGAATACTGGTAAGAGGCGTGAAATCATTTTCTTTATCTGTATTGACTTTTGCGTCTTTCATTTTTTTTGTATGGTCAGTGTTCATCATTCATAGGCCAAGGATCAGTACCTTCCCTAGACGTGATCGTAGTCTTATGGCAAATGATCTGCTGATACATGCCGTTCTTACTCGTTTCCAGAGTCTGCACTTTCGTTGGTTCAAAGGTAATGTTTGTAGAATCAAACAGTAAAGTAAACCTAGAAATAGGCCAAACATATATATTTAAAGTTTAATATACTACCAAGCTAACTTTTTTTTAAAGGTGATGAAAGGTTATTGTCTACTGTGTAGTAATTGAAAGAAGGGATTAAGTGATAGTAGCACAGTATTGAAAGATTTGAATGTGTGAAAGAATTTTTGTATGTGAAGAGTAGCATAACTAAAAATTTCAGTGATTGGAGTAAAATATTCACAGCAAATGCAACCAAGCTAGTATATGTAATACTAAGAACTCATTCAAATGTTACTGGAATAACAAAAAGTACCAGGATCACAGGAAAAGTGTGACTAAGAAGAAATTCAAAAGGCTGAATAAACAGCCTTCATTTTATCTAGTAATCCGAGAAAGTAAAATGAATTATATGTATACTTTCTAAATTATAGAATATTTAAAAAGAAGTTAAAATATTCACTGCTAACAGAAGCAATGGTGATACTTATACAGTCATACATCAGTGGGTATATAAATTGAATCTTACCTTTTAGTAAGAAAGCATTATGGCAATATATTACAAAAAGCCATAAAGATTTATTCTATTCTTGAGTTATTCTAAGAAATCCAAAAGCCCAAAATCTTTGCAAAGATATTTATTGCAGTTTTATCTTTACAGCAAAAAACTGGAAAACAATCTGTATATCCAATAAAGATGTTTTTCATAAACACAGTGAAATACAATACAGATATTAAATGTACATTTAAGACTTTCTAGAATTTAAATATAAATGTTAAGAATATTAAGATTTAAGTAATTAAATAATGTGTGGATAATAGACAACTGGACTATGGAGTATAAAAATTCAAATAGTTGTGTTAGCGAGCTAGACATAAAGGTAATTTTTTCATCTACCAATTTCTTGTTGTCATTAAATCATCTTCAATTTAAAAAGGCTATACTATGCTTTACAGAGTTTAGTAACATCATTAGCTGGGCCCCCCTTTTGCTTATACAGGTTACAGAGGGAAGTCTTTTCAGAGAGCCATCAGAGGCCCTGATAATGTTTTCTTCACAACACTGTGGTCCACTAGGGGTTGTACCCTTTATGTTATCCCACCATCATTTCAGGTTCTATATATATAGATTTTAGCCTAAATCTAATAGTAGCATCATAAAGAATAGAACTAAAGTAGAAATAGACAGCAACAAATTATCTCGTTTTCTATAACATAGCTTGAGTCCCTACTAAGTGCTAAGTATAATAGTAAGTGAATTATAGTTTTGTTTTGTTCTGTTGATATGAAGGGGCAGCAAACTATGGCCCCGTGGACCAAATCCAGCCTACCACCTTTTTTTGTAAACAAAATTTTATTGGAACACAACCATGCCCATTGGTTTGCATATTGTCTATGGCTACTTCCATGCTACAGTGCAGAGTTGAGTAGTTAAGACAGAGATTGGACTACAAAACCTAAAATAGTTACTGTCTGATTCTTTACAGAAAACATTTGCTGACCTCTGGTCTACATAACCTTTAGAAGTAGGTGTTATTATCTCTGTTTTACACAAGATAAATTAAGTCTTCAAAGGCTAAGGCTCTGTCCTTGTTCCAAGGTGAGTAGGTATATGCAAACCTATCCCCAAAGGCTAAGGGAGCTGAGAGGCTGAAGAAAGAGGCTGACAAATTCAGTTTCTCAGAGAAAAACGTTTAATGGAGAGCTATAAATACAAGCTATATCTCAGGTGGCTTCAGAATGATGGATCCCTGCACTGTTACCCACAGACTCAGGGCTTAAATACCATAGTTGAAATGGGTGAGTTCCTCTTCTCAAGGTATAAAAATAACTTGAGATTCCTAGGCCTGTCAGATAGTGACATGCTTAACTTAGCATGGATTAGGAACCTTGTAAAGGAACCTGTGTAGTCAAAATACCAGACCAATCTTTCCGAGGGGCTTTTTAACAGCTCTATAAAGCTAAACACAATTTCTCAAAGCAGTATGGTCATATTTGAAAATAGGCCATTTTCAGTCAAAGCCGGCATATAAAATAACCCATGTCTCCAATGTGTCCTAGTACAAAGGAAAACATATTCTTATTGAAAATCACCATATTGTTGCTACAAAATAAAAATATGTAAGTTTCCAAATTTTGGAGAACTCAGAAAGGTAAATTTTGCTTATAAAAGTATACTTTATTCAATTCCCGTAAGCTCTAAATAGCTTAAAAGAAAAAAAGGTGTTCTTGACTCTTCTTTAATCAGACTTTTCTTTAATCAGAGTGGAAAGAGCTAAGGCCTTCAAAACAAGGTTTGGACAACATGTTGGAATTGCCATCTACAAACCAAGCAGTTGTTAATCATGTGAGAGCTGTTTATTAGGTACTGTGGAATCCAGCAGCTCTTCACACAGTTCCAGAGTCAGTCTTAGTGGGAAAAAAGGCTTGCTGCTCATACTGCCTCGTACTCTCTTGGTAGCATGACCCTGTAGAAATTGTTTCCATTGCATTATGGCACGCTTCTGGGCACTGATGTTCCCATTACAGTGTTTCTTTGACATAACCTCACACGGCAGAGGTATTTCAAGTGTCAGGATCATTTTATGTCCTTGAGTCATAGGGATAGCTTCAGTTAATAACCCATAGCAAGGCAGTAAAAGTCCCTCAAGTGAAATTCTCCAGTCCAAAGTCCCAGTAGTCTCTGCTGGGAGGTACTCACGGACTTTTGCTGTAAGCCCCAGTGAGTTTTCCACAAAGGGCTATCAAGTGATGAATTTATCCCTACCAGTACTGCAGCTTCTTCTGTACACTCTGTGGGCTCGGGCAGTCTTAACTGGTTCCCACTTAGCATGTCCAATTAATATTGCTTGAAGAGCAGATTTACATATTTTCTCTTTTACAGTATGAGATAGGGGAAACATTCACCAGTGAGATGCAATGTTTTTTTTCCATAAAACCTTTAGGTAAAGGGGACACAACTACTTTACATAAAACTTGTATAAACAGAATTTAACTTTCATAATCCTGCTGATCCTTATATTTTATGTTCTAGTCCCAGGAACATTGCTTTTCCACCCCTAGGCCATTTTGCCCCTTCTTGTGAAAAAGGTTTTAGGTTCCTAGCCGGGGGTTGAGCCAAGTGACTTGGTCCCTTCTCCCTGTCTTAATTAGTCTAACCATTGACCCAGGCAATTACAGGTGGGCTTTCTCATTATAATCTTTACTTTCTGGCTTTTAAGTTTTCTCCAAATTGGGGAAAATACAGTATACTGATTTAGAACTTTTTTTAATGTTGAGGGACCAACAGGGACTCCCTTTGGTCCACCCAACCTTAGATGGTGTTGTAATTAAGACATTTTTATTTATTTTTTGTTTTTGAGACGGATTCTTGCTCTGTTGCCCAGGCTGGAGTGCAATGGCATGATCTTGTCTCACTGCAACCTCTGCCTCCCAGGTCCAAGTGTCTTTCCTGTCCCAGCCTTGCGAGTAGCCTGGATTACAGGCGTTACTGTTGAGATGGAGTTTGCTCTTTTTGCCCAGGCTGGAATGCACTGGCACGATGTCAGCTCACTGCAACCTCTACCTCCTAGGTTCAAGCAATTTTCCTGCCTTAGCCTCCCAAGTAGCCGGAATTACAGGTGCGTGCCACCATGCCCCACTAATTTTTTTGTCTTTAGTAGACATGGCGTTTCACCATGTTGGCCAGGCTGGTCTTGAACTCCTGACCTCAAGTGATTTCCCTGTCTCGGCCTCCTAAAGTGCTGGGATTACAGGCGTGAGCCATTGTGCCTGGCCTAAACATCTTTTCAAAAATGAATATAATCCCTTTTGAATTCTTAGTTTTTAAAAAATAATAATTATAAAAATTTTTTAAAAAGAGAATTTGACCAAGGAAACCTAAGGCAGAAGGAGAAACCAAGGCAAGTTGTAGTGCAGGAATGGAAGTTTATTTAAAAACTTTAGAGCAGAAACAAAAGGAAGGAAAGTACTCTCAGAAGAGGGCCAAGCAGATGACTTGAAGGACAAGTGTGTGGTCTAACCTTGTGAGTTGGAGGTTTACACGTTGGCATGCTCCTGGAGGTCTTGTGTTTCTTCTCCCAATTCTAACCTTGAGGTGGCTGTCCGCGTCCCCAGTGGCCTGCTAGCATTTGCGTGTGCTTACCGGATTCGTACACAGGCTCACTTGAGGTTTTCTTTGCTTACCAGTAGAATGTTCCTAGAAACTTATGTACCAGTTCAACTCCTCCCTTTTGCCTCTTAAAGCACATGCTTGAGCCCACTTGCCAAGCTCCAGAGATCTTATCAGGAAGCTGCTGATCACCAGTTTTAGGTGTTTTATTTATTGGGAGATTGCCTTTCTCTGGTGCTGGCTGCAATTATTATTTTAGAGACACGGTTAACAATAGCTTGACCATGGAATGGTCACCTAACATTCCTGGTGAGGGGTGGGGAGGCCTGCTTATTTCCTGCTTATGCCCGACTAGCTTACCTGCTGTAACATTCCCACCTCCACAAGTCACCAGTCAAGGTGAGATGTTTCTAGCTAGAAAGAGCTAACGGTGTTTTTGGCCCAGGGGAGTTTAGGCTGTAGGTAGCTTGTTTCCAAAGTAGTCAGGAGGATGGAGCTGGGAGAAATAGAAAAGATAAAGAGAGAGATTAGGGGCCATACACATGGACAAACAAATGGTGTACCACTCCAAACAAATCCCCAGTTAAGGGGGGGCTGGGTAGAGTTCCAAACTCCTTGCCTTGGTTTCAAATGGCCCTCCCCAGGGGACTGAGTCCAATGCCAGCAAAGCCCTGAGGGTGCCACACACAAATACAAATGTATAAAAATGGCCAAATGGTGACACTAACAGCTAAGTCTAAACAGAGCAGAGCCCCAGCAACACCCTAAAAGAGGCAGAGGGAGGTTGGGTGCACCCAGTTCCAGTGTTTGATGTCTTCAGAATATCACACTCTTTGTGTCAGCAAAGCTTTGGAAGCAGCACATGCTGTAGCAGAAAGAGAAAGGAAGGGAAGGTTGCCTGAGACAAAGGCACCGTGGCAGCTGCTGGAAGCTCCCCTAATGTTCTGGCCACGGGGTCAGCTAGCCATGAGCAGCTGGCACTCATAGGCCATGGCACCATCCAACAGAAGATCAGATAGGTGGGTCTGCAGCCTCCTGTGAATGAATACACAGGGCTCCCTATATGGGCCACCAAAAATTATAACTAGCATAGGGATCCAACTACTCACCACTTGTCAAAAGAAGCCAATATAACAAGAGCAAGATATGATAAAGTTTCATTATCTGTACCAGCAAAGGGAAGTGTGGGTGGAATTCCAAAAGTTCCAGCCTTCAATTTGTAGAGTTGAACATAGGGGTTTATAAAGAAAGAGGGTTTGGAATGCAGGAGGTGTCAGGTGGCTCAATCTTCTCCAACAGCTTATCTTGAAATATTCCATTTGGTGAAGGGGCCAGCACCATCCTGGGCCCAACCAGGTTACAAAGTAATTGTAGTAAATCTTGCAGTGAATTTCTAGATGGGAGTGAGTTTTGGCCTTGACTGGGGAGAGAATTCTGGAGGTATCCATTTTGTGCCAAGATCCGGCCCCTGAAGCTTCTAAGGTATATGCTTTAAAAGCATCTAGGTAAATACATGTGCATAGGGCATGGGAGCATAGAACAGGCAAAGAAAGGGAATGAAGGTTCACAGCACATTTTGAGGCTGTATTTCAAGATGAATGGAAACACATATGCAATTTATCTCAAAGTTATATCTTAAAATTGGGAAGAAAGGAAGAAAAAAGTTTAGAACATGGTTTGAAGCCATGCTACAAGGTTACAGGCTGAATAAAGAAGGTAACAAATCCAGTTTCTCAGAAACATTTAATAGAGACTTTTGAGCAGAAGCCATCTCTTGGGTGGCCTCAAGATGGTGGATGTGTACACTGTTATTCCCCCAGACCCAGGGTTTATATACCATGGGGAATTTTCCTAAGGGCAGGATTTATGTTAAGTATGTGTGTACATATGATAACATAAAGGTTGTTTTGACCTAAGGACAAGATTTCTGATAAGTACATGGAAGTAGAAATCTTAGAGGCATTTCCAGAACTGGGGTTAATCAGAAGTTAGCATGGTGGATTAGCATCTAAAATGGAGTTCCTCTAGCCTCTACTCCTCCAGCTACTACCAGTGTTTTTAATTGTCTACTACTGTTTTTAAATGTTATAAGAAGGAAAACCAACTTATCAGCCCACCAAAAACTATTTTGTGATCATGAGAAAATACATTTTTATGGGTGCCTGCTGATAATAAGTACTTGTTTTCCAGTTGCCAAGTTTCCAGGACAGTGAAGATGATGATGATATTCTACCAAATATGGACAAAAATCCAGCAACGCCATCATCTGTTGTCTTTCCATTGGCAAAAACTCCTCAGTGTCAGCACGTCAGTCCTGGAATGCTAGCTTCCATAAATAGGTAAACATGCATGCATATGATATGTTAATTCTCTGCATCAGAGTAGTGAGGAACATTTAAACATTTCATGAGGACCATAGATGCCAGTAATGGGAAGAGTCATTATTATTAAAAAAAAAAAAATCAAGAATGTATAATTCCTAGAAATTAAGGATGGACAGTTTCATCAAATCAAGGTGCTTTTCAGTAAATAGCATTGTAATATAACTCACATTTACAGCTGGATAAATCTGAAATGGATCAAGGTTTTACCTGTAAAAACTAAAGTAAATACAGACAGACACACACACAACCAAAAGAAACCTTGGAGAATTATTTTATAATACCAGATTAATGATGGTCCTTCTAACTATGATATAAAACCTATTAGCCATTAATGAAAAGAAGAATAAAGTCAACTGTATAAAAATGTTCTAACAAATTTTACCTGGAACCAACCACTACAAACAAAAGACAACCTGAGAAAAGTATATGCAACTTGTCACAGGCAAAAGGCTGATTTCCCTAATATATACAGCATTCCTACAAATTAACAAGAAATGCATTGTTAATTTTCATGCATTGCTAGTGAGAAGGTAAATTAGTGTGATCTTTGCGGCAACAATCTGTAAGTATCCAAATTATAAATAACACATGCCCTTTGACTTAGGAATTTTACTTGTAGAATTATGAATGCATAGCTTACTCATTGTAGCATTGTTTATAATAGCAAAACCTCAAAAAATCCATCAAATAAGGACTAATTAAATGAATTCTGGTCCTTTATGTAGTCATAGAAATTAATGACGAGCCAGACACAGTGGCTGAAGCTTGTAATCCCAGCACTTTGGGAGGCTAAGGTGGGAGGATAATTTGATCCCAGGAGTTTAAAACTAGCATGGGTAACATAGGAAGACCCCATTTCTACAAAAAGAAAAAAGTTAGCAGAATGCAGTGGTGCAAGCCTGTGATCCCAGCTACTGGGAGGGTGATGTAGAAGGATTGCTTGAGTCCCAGAGGTCTAGGCTGCAGTGAACTATGATTGTGGCAATTATACCCCAGCCTGGGCAACAGAGCGAGATCCTGTCTCATAAAAAATTAATGAAGATTTTTTATTGCTATTATGATAAAATGCCTAAGATATATTAAATGAAACAAAGGTAGATGCAGTGAATAACACACTACTGTTTGTGCAAATAGAAGCTATGTGTATGCATATATATTTGTGTGTGTGTAATTGCTTTCATCTCAAAGGATACGTAAGAAACCAAAACGCTGGTGATCTCCTGGGAGATGAACTAAAAAGCTAGAGGAAGGAGAGGAGGGGGGATTTTGAATTTTGAACCATGTGATTACAGGAACAATTTGAAATATAAAAATAAAATCAAGAAAAAAGTAAGAGTGACCAACAGTAAAATGTCAAAGAAAAAAAGAGGGAAAGTAGTAAGAATGAGGCCTGAAAATAGGCTATTCCATTTGGCAAGTAAGAGGCCATTGCTGATCTTAGAGCAGTTTCCAGTAAATGAGAGGCAGAAGCAAGATGATAATGACTGAGAAAAAAACTATTCAGTAATCTCAGGAAGCAAGCAAAGTTTAATTTGCATTTGTTGGATAAAAATATAATTTTCCTGGACATCTACAAATGTTTTTTTAGTATTTAGTGCAGGTGAAAGCATATTGAGAGTACAATTTTGGTATTTAGTGCAGGTGAAAGCATATTGAGAGTACAAATTTGGTATTCAGTGCAGGTAAAAGCATATTGAGAGTACAAATTTGGTATTTAGTGCAGGTGAAAGCATATTGAGAGTACAATTTTGGACAAACTTACTGATAAGCACTTTGGCCAAATCATCAAAGGTTTTAAAATATTCATTCTTTTGGCTGTTGAATTTTATTAAACACTAAGGAAATATGAGATTTGGACAAGCACATATTTGTATGAACAAAGATGTTCATCACAAACATAGTACTGAAAGTTTGAGAATGACCTAAACATCCAAAAATAAAGAAATAATAAATTGAGATTTGTCCGTATAATGGAATATGAAACAACTAAAAAACTGTGTCTTCAAGAATTTTTTTTTTTTTTTTTTTTGAGTCAGGGTTTTGCTCTTGTTGTCCAGGCTGGAGAAAAATTTTTAATGACAGAAAAATGTCCAGTGGATAGTAGTTTCTAAAAGCTAGGAAAACTACATTCAGTATGATCCCAATTTTATATAACAAATTCATAAGGAAGGAAATTTTTTAAATTATATATTACCAGCTATTATTTCTAGGTTGTAGAATGACACCAGTGTGGGTTGGAAGTTTTTGGTTTTTGTTTTGGGGGTTTTTCTGTCAGTTTATATCACTTTTTTAATAAAAATCAGACTCACTTATGTCATGAATCTATATTATCCAAAACTTGTCTGTTAAAAATTGATTTTCTTAGGCTTCTTCACTAGAGGTAGTAATTGACTTACTTTTCATAGCAGTTTTTTTTTTTTTGAGACGGAGTTTTGCTCTTGTTACCCAGGCTGGAGTGCAGTGGCGCAATCTCTGCCTCCTGGGTTCAGGCAATTCTCCTGCCTCAGCCTCCCGAGTAGCTGGGATAACAGGCACGCGCCACCATGCCCAGCTAATTTTTTGTATTTTTAGTAGAGACGGGGTTTCACAATGTTGACCAGGATGGTCTCGATCTCTTGACCTTGTGATCCACCCGCCTCGGCCTCCCAAAGTGCTGGGATTACAGGCTTGAGCCACCGCTCCGGGCCCCATAACAGTTTTAAGTAATGAAACAGTTGTATCAATTCAGAAGTGAAAAACTCTGTGTCTTTAGAGAGATCTCTTTGATAACAGACTTTATCACGTGCTGACCATGAACAACTGGCTAGGCCTGTTCATTGGTAGTTGTGTTTTTTGTTCATTTTTGAGATGGAGTGGTCCAGCTGGAGTGCAGGGGCATAGTCTTGGCTCACTGCAACCTTTATCTATCGCGTTGAAGCAATTCTTGTGCCTCAGCCTCCCAAGTAGCTCGGATTATAGGCGCATGCCACCATGCCTGGCTAATTTTTGTATTTTTAATAGAGATAGGGTTTCACCATGTTGCCCAGGTTGGTCTTGAACTTCTGACCTCAGGTGACCCACCAGCCTCTACCTCCCAAAGTGCTGGGATCGGCCTGTTCATTTGTTAAAACAACTTGCTAACAATTAACCATGATTATTCATTGCTAAACAGCAGTATTTGATTCAGATAAATATCTCAATACAGTCACATTTACAAATTTCTACATGTCATGCCTTTAAGGTTGTTTCCAAATAGTCATAAAGGACAGAGGATACTCAGGTATGTAAGATCTTGGAGCCAAGGGAGAGGATGGAAATGGGTGTTCAGCTGGTATTTACTGTCATAACTGGGATTAGAAATTGTGGGGTTGGGGAATTCAACCAACCATTCTACTTGGCTTTTAATCTCTTAAGTCATGAGTCAAGCCTATTTACACATAAGGGAAGAGATAAGGTAAAAGAAATGAAAAACAAAAACAAAACTTGGTGGTTGGTATGGGCAATACAAGAAAGATATAATTGTGCACAAGTAAAAGGCTTGATGAGCTGGATTGGAAACCAACACAGTTAGAAAACTTGAGGGTGTTCAGTAATCAGGCATATCTTTAAAGTGAATAAACTGAGATTCAATTAGGATAGGGTAGGAAGTGAACAGGAGAGATAATGGTATAGCAAAAGCGAGTCCAAGGACAAGAAGTCTCAGAGTTTTGGAAAAGAGAAGCAGCAAGATACTGGAAAGATTGTAGATGGTACAGTGAAAAGTAAGCAAAGCACAATTTCCCAAAATAGTCTTATTCAGTGTTTCCTTTAAAATCTTTGATTTAAGCATTTTATCCATGGCTAGGCACATTTTATTGTCTTTTAATCGTTTTATCCATCACCATGGGCACATTTTATTGTCTTTAAAATACAGAATGTAATTTTTAAAGATGGAAATATGTTTGAGGTCAGGTGAGGTGGCTCATGCCTCTTGGGAGGCCCAGAAGGGCAGATTGCTTGATGAGCTCAGGAGTTTGAGACCAGCCTGGGCAATGTGGCAAAACCCTGTCTCAAAAAAAAAATATATACAAAAGGTAGCCAGGCGTGCTGGCATTGTGCCTGTAGTCCACGCTACTTAGGAGGCTGTGTTGGGAGGATCACCTGAACCCAGGAGTTTGAGGCTGCAGTGAGCCATTATCATTGTCAGTGCATTCCACCCTGGGGGACAGAATGAGACCCTGTTTTAAAAAAAGAAATACATTGAAATTAATTTAGGCAATTGCTGTTCAACCTGTGGATAAAAGTGTGACAGCTAATGTTGACTTAAAATTGTTTTGTATCCAAACAGGAATGACTGTGATAAATATGTTTTTCGTATGCAAAAATTTCATAAAGGTAATGGTGGTGTTGTCTGGGGCAACATCAAGAAAAAATTAGTAAGTATTTTTCTTTACCCAACACATATCTCTGAAACAACTTTTACAAGTTATGTAACAGTCCCTGTCCCTGAGGTGCTTATAACCGAACAAGTTATAATAAGCCATGAATGAGGTAAGCACATCAGTACTGTAGGATTACAGATGGCATCACATAGACTGAAACATTGTTGCAAGGGGAAAATGGGTAAAAACTTTGATTTGGGAAATGAGGAAGGGTGGAAAAAATAGTAAGAAATTTTATCAAATCCTATCAGCTTTAAAATGGTTTCAAATGTTTTTCAGATTTAGCTACTTTTTTTTCATATTCTAACATTTCAAATCCAACTACAGAAAAATTTTTAACTGAAACATGCCTTAATAAAATGATCTATGTCCTTTAGAGAAGAGTTTAGGACAATCCCTTATCCCCTTGAATTACTTTTTAAATTTTTAGTTTTCTGATTTTAATTTCAATAACAGATTACCAGATATAAGTACTAGTATTCTGGAAAACCTATTTCATCTTAAATTTCCTTAAAGGAAGTAGCTAATCTTAGAGAATGGTAACTTATGGGAACCCCCTTGAGTCCCTTGCTTTATGACAATGAACAAGTTACTTGAGCTTTCTAATATTTTATTCATGTGTGGTACGACAAAGGGGATCACTATTATATTGGTTTATGTTACCAAATGATTTTTTATTTTTTTTTTTGAGAGAAGGAAAGAAAAAAAAATAAGTAAAGGAGAGGAAGAAAGAGGAAGAGAAAGAGGGAGAGTAAATGGAAATATTGCTTTATTTTGAAAAAAATCGGGTACTAATAATGGCCAATCAATGTTTCATTTAAACTAATGGGTAGGTGTGATGTGGTATTGACAAGAATGTATATTTTGTGTATTTGAAGTGGAGAGCTCTATAAATAATTATTAAGTTTACTTGTTCTGGATCTGAGTTCGAGTCCTTGATATCCTTATTAATTTTCTGTCTCATTGAATCTTAAGTCTCCTATCTGGGTGTTAGGATCGTTAGCTCTTGTTGTTGCATTGATACTTTTACCACTATATCGTTGTTGCTTTAAAATCTATTTTATCCGATACAAGAATTGCAACTCCTGCTTTTTATTTATTTATTTATTATTTTTGCTCTCCATTTGGTTGGTGTATCTTTCTCCATCCCTTTGTTTTGAGTCTTTGTGTATCCTTGCATGTGAAACAGGTCTGGATGTAACATGCCGTTGGGTTTTGGCTGTGTCTTTTGATTGGGAATTCAGTCAATTTAAATTTAGGGTTACTGCCATTTGATGTTGACTGGCTGTTTTATCCATTTGTTGGTGTAAATTCTTCTTTATGTTGGTGCTCTTTACTTTTTGGTGTATTTTTAGAAAGGCTAATACTGGTTGTTTCTTTCTGTGTGTAATGCTTCTTTCAGAAGCTCTTGTAAAGCAGGCCTGGTGGTAATAAAATCTCTGAGTTCTTGCTTGTTCATAAAAGATTTTATTTTTCCTTCAGTTGTGAAGCTTAGTTTGGCTGGATATGAAATTCTGGGCTGAAGGTTCTGTTCTTTGAGGATGTTGAATATTGGCCCCCACTCTCTTCTGGCCTGTAGTTTCTGCCGAGAGATCTGCTGTAAGTCTGATAGGCTTGCCTTTGTGGGTAATCTGACCTTTCTCTCTGGCTGCCCTTAGTATCCTCTCCTTCGTTTCAACCCTGGTGAATCTAACGATTATGTGCCTTGGGGTTGGTCTTCTTGAGGAATATCTTTGTGGTGTTCTCTGTATTACCTGGGGTTGAATGTTGACCTGCTTTGCTAGTTTAGGAAAATTTTCCTGAATAATATCCTGAAGGGTATTTTCCAGCTTGGATTCATTCTCTCCATCGCATTCAGGTACACCTATCAAACGTAAATTTGGTCTTTTCACATAGTCCCACATTTCTTGGAGACTTTGCTCATTCCTTTTTATCCTTTTTTCTCTAATCTTTTCTTCACGTTTTATTTCATTAAGTTGGACTTTGACCTCTGATATCCCTTCTTCTGCTTGAACAATTCGAGTGTTTAAACCTGTGCATACTTCTCGGAGTTCCTGTATTGTATTCTTCAGTTCCATTAATTCACTCATACTCCTCTCTAAGTTGTCTATTCTCAATAGGATTTCATCAAGCCTTTTTTCAAAGTTCCTAGTTTCTTTACGTTGGGCTACAACATGTTCTTTTAACTCACCGAAGTTTGTTATTATCCATTCCTTGAAGAGTGATTCTGTCATCAGGAGGCGCTCGTTCTCCATCAAGCCTTGTTCCATTGTTGATGTGGAACTGTAATCATCTTTAGAGGGAGAGGTGTTCTGACTTAGAGTATTCTCAGCTTTTTTACGCTGGTTTCTTCCTGTCATTGTAAATTTATCCTCCTGTCGTCTTTGAAATTACCAACTTTCAGATTAGGTCTCTTGAGTGGACGTCCAGGTTGTTAGTTCCCGGGGCCAGAGAAGCGGCATTAAAACTGATGGTGCTTTTCTGCCCAGAATTCTCTTGTCGGGCTTCCTTGACTCTGCCTTCCCGGGGCTCCAAACCTCGGTCAGAAGGGGAACTGGTCCTGTTTACTCTGCGCCGAGTGCTGCCGTGTGGAGGTGCCGGCGGAACCGCTGCGCCGACCACGAGAGTCGCGCTGGCGACTCGTGTGTTTCCACCACTGGGGGATCTTCTGCTCCGTGAGCGACCAGAATTTGTCTGAAAGTGTGGCGTCCTCTAGTTCTCCGCGCCTTCCCTGAGAGCTGCAATCCCGGGATGTTAGCGATCGGCCATCTTGGATCGTTCTCCACCCAATGATTTTTAGGGCTAAGTGATATATGTGTTTTGCCTCATCTCAGAAACAAAATTACATCTATATCACAGTCTGTGAGCATGAATTTGTATCCAAAAATTTCTTAAAACAGTACTGGCTAGGCGCAGTGGCTCACACCTGTAATCCCAGCACTTTGGGAGGCCAAAACAGGTGGATCACAAGGTCAAGAGATCAAGACCATCCTGACCTACATGGTGAAACCCCGTCTCTAGTAAAAATATAAAAAATTTACCTAGGAGTGGTGGTTCGTGCCTGTAGTCCCAGCGACTCATGAGGCTGAGGCAGGAGAATTGCTTAAACCCAGGAGGCAGAGGTTGCAGTGGGCCGAGATCACGCCACTGCACTCCAGCCTGGAGACAGAGAGAGACTCTGACTCAAAAAAAAAAAAAAAAAAAAAAAAAAAAAAAAAAACTACCTACTCTTAGTATTACTCTCAGTGTAAGGGCTATCATATTTTTTATTGTTTTTTAATTTTTTTAAAGATTGCCAGCCATGGCCAATAGTTTGATAAGCATTGTAATGTGTGTGAGTGTGCACTTCAAACTTGCCATATACATTATTACCATTTTAGCCAAGAATTTCAAGTACAGAGAATTAACTTTGCTAGTATAAAACATTGTACTATATAATAACGGACTATAGGTAAAAATAGTACTGTATTTACTCTTCCCTATTGTATATAGTAATCACTGTAATAGGACAGTATAGTATGGTGATTATAATTACTATAATAAATTGTGTTTATATTTTGTTTACTAAATGACTATATTCGTTACTTAATTACTTAGTACATCTGGTAACTTTTGGAGGCCCATAGACTATATCCTTTAATCGCAACATGATTTGTTTATAATTTCTTAGAGCTGTGTTTGCCAGCAGTGGGAAACAACATTAAGTCATAGTTCTTGCCCTGAATAAACCCAAGAGAACTAGGCATTTCACAGATAATTTTAATGTGATAAAGTGTGGTTATAGGCATATGTTCAAAGTACTCTGGGGATAAGCATGCTCATTGTCTAGGTTTGAGGTAGGCTTCACCAGGAGGTACCATTTAGCTAATAATATTAACTCTTTTATAGGTTGAAACTGATTTCTCAGCTCCAACATCAAGAAAGAAAACACCATTTAACCCAGGTAATGTATCTTTCTTTTGTGGCTCAGTTCTATTATAAGGTAGGTTCTTTATTTAAATGATGTTAAAATTAATTGCTCTCAAGTGGACAGACTTAGCATTTTGTTCCTTATAGTTGTTTTCAGTTTTATCAAAAGTACTTTTAGAAATTTATTGATCTTTTTATTAAACTTCTCTTTACAGATTTAGGAGAAAACTCCGGTATTGGAAAACTTTTCACTAATGCTATGGAATCTTTAGATGAAGAAGAGAAAGATTATTATTTTTCAAACTCTGATTCTGCAGAATAAATGAGAAAATATGATTCCTGGGGGTTTTACCATGAAGCAGACAGTGTATTTGTATTTTCAATTGAAGTACATGTATTTTCTTTGTAAAGAAAGTAGCTTATGAAAATGTGGACCTTTGCTGGGCACAGTGGCTCACGCCTATAATCCCAGCACTTTGGGAGGCCGAGGCGGGTGGATCACGAAGTCAAGAGATCGAGACCATCCTGGTCAATGAGGTCTAAAAATACAAAAATTAGCTGGACATGGTGGTGCGTGCCTATAATCCCAGCTACTCGGGAGGGTAAGGCAGGATAATTGCTTGAACCCAGAAGGCGGAGGTTGCGGTGAGCCAAGATCGTGCCATTGCATTCCAGCCTGGGTAACAGCAAAACTCCGTCTCAAAAAAAAGAAAAGAAAAGAAAATGTGGACTTTTTTGAAGGTCTCGTTGTGTGTTTGTATTCAAAGTAAAATATCCTCATTGCTGCAGCTTACTAAAAATTTAAAGAAAATTGCTTTTGATTGTGTAGATATCTGCAAATTTCTGTTTTTGTACATTAAAATATATATAGATACTTTTTAAATGAGAATCAGTCTGTTTACTTTAAGAAAATCGTTTCCCATTTTTTCTTTTAATTTCAAGAAAATTTTGCTACCATTTAAGTAAGGGAAGGTGAAAGGATAACAGAGGTTGTATTGGCAGCTACTGAATTCATGAAAACTTTTAAGTTAGCATTTGTTACCAGTTCATATCCAAGCCAGAGTAGGATTTGTTACCAGTTGTTGTCCAAGCCTGATGTTTAAATTACACATTGTTGAAACTGACATGCTTGTCTCCTGATTTTTTTTAACTTGTGATTGGTATGTCTATGAAACCTATGTAAATTTAGTTTATTACTTTGCCATTATTTTACTAGGTAAAATTAGAGAACAAAATGGCTCCTTTATTTACATATGCAGATACAGCTTAAATATTTTGACTAGATTATACATTCAGTTAATAGGTTCACCATTAGGAGTCAAATTAATATGTGAAATTTCTTTTAGAAATAAATTTTCATTTGTTAGGAAACTTGACATAGGAGATTTTCCCTCTGACTACATATTCACCTACAACTTGTTCTCTAGTTGGACTGTTCAAATAAAATTAGTTTCCTTTTATGGTATTTGTTTCTTGTTTTTTGTTATTAATTACTGGATGATAGATATAAAAACAAATCACATTTTGTTACTGGTCCTGTTTAAGTTTCCTCAAGAACAGATACAAAGGTAATAACGTTTTCTTGTTTCTTAAGTATTTTAGTCAGAGCGGGCATGGTGTCATATAGCTGTAGTCCCAACTACCTTGGAGGCTGAGGAAGGAGGATTGCTTGAGTGTAGGTGTTCAAGACTGAAGTGTGCTATGAGCATGCCTGCATCTAGCCACTGCACTGTAGCCTGGGCAACAGAGAAAGACTCCTTCTCTTAAAAAAAAAATTTTTAGATGTAACAATCAGCAGTTACATAATTATAAGATGTATAGAAACACAGGATGTAAAAAGAACAGTGCAATTGGACTAAGATAATTCTTTTTTTTTTTTTTTTTTAAAGGCAAAGATAGACAAATTTAATTATATTAAACTTAAAAGCTTCTGCATAGCAAAGGAAACAGCAGAATAAAAGGACAACCTATGGTATTAGAGAAAATATTTGCAAACAGCACATCTAGGGCTTAATATCCAAAGTATATAAGATAAGCAACTTGATGGAAAGAAACCAAATGACCTGATTAAAATACGGGCAAAGGTTATGAATAGGCGTTACTCTAAAGATAGCATACAAATGGCCAACAGGTATACGAAAAAATGCCCAGCACCACTAATCATCAGGAAATGCAAATTAAAACCACAGATACCTGTCAGAATGGCTACTATCTAAATGATGAAAAATAACCAGTGTTGGTGAGGATATGGAGAAAAGGTTTGCTTTGTGTACCGAGGGTGGGATTGTGAATTAGTGTAGCCATTTTGGAAAACAGTACAAAGGTTCCCCCCAAAATCAAAAATAAAACTACAATATAATTGGCAATCTCACTACTATGCATATATTCAAAGGAAATAAAATCAATTATATCGATGAAATACCTACACTCCTGTGCTTATTGTAGCCTTATTTATAATAGTGAAGAAATGGAATCGATCCATGTGTCCTTCAATGATGAATGAAGAAAATGTAATTACATTCCCCCCCACCACACATGCACATACCAAAACATTATTCAGACTTCAAGGAAATTTTGTCATTTGTGACAATGAACCTGGATGACATATTAATAAAATGAGACCCACACAGAAAGACCAATGCTGTATGATCTCACATGTGGAATCTAAAAAAGTAAACTCATAGAAGTAGAGAGTAGAATGGTTGGTTACAGGAGCTGAGGGCAGGGAGGAGATTGAGATGTTAGTCAAAGGATACAAAATTTCAGTTAGAAAGAACAAATTCAAGAGATCTTTTGTACAGTATGGACACTATAGTTAATAACAACATATTATATTCTTGAAAATTGCCGAGAGGTGATTTTAAACATTTTACCACAAAAATAGAAAAATATGTGAAGAAATGCATATTTCACAGTGTATGCATATTTCAAAACAACATATACATGATAAGAATATACAATTACTGTCAGTTAAAGTAAAAAAGAATATGCTAAGATAAAGAATAATACTGAATATAAAGAATATATAATTTTCAATACCTAATAGATTTTAAGGTAGATTAGAAATAGGTTAATAAAGTTTTTACAAATTAGAATATAGAACTAAAAATCACCTAAAATATAGGTAGATGTTGAGATGAATTTAATAGTATTAAAATTTAAAATATTTAAATATAAAATTGAAGTCATGAAAATATAGGTTTGTGGTTGAAGTTATTAAATAAATAAGAGAAAGAATTAACATTTGTCAACACTTCTGATACATTGCATGTGAATTGTAGTTCAAATAAATGTATTATTCTTGGTAACTTGTCTGTCTCCTACAATGTCCATTTTTTTTACATATCGTAAGGCTTCAGAATGCATTAATATTTGTACCATCTATAAACATAAAATCATGTTAAATAATTTGTCTCATGAGTAAAGAATATTTCCTTGATTCTTACTTCTTTGTTTTTATTTTGTTGGATCTGTTTAATTTTAGTCTTTTAAGAATGGAGAGAGGACATAGGGGTGAAATATGCTCTTGAAGATAATGTCAGTGTCTCAAAAATAATGGAAATTATGAATCTTCCTATAAATCAGCCCCCAACAATCCACCAGAATAGTTAAAAAAGAGACCTATCTAGCAGAACGTAATGAAAATAGAGTATTCCAAAGTAAAAGAGAAGCATACTAAACACAGTAAGAGAGAAAAGAGAGATGGCTTACTGACACACTTTGGCTCTGTCTCCACTCAAATCTCATCTTGAATTGTAATCCCCATAATTCACAAGTATTGAGAGAGGGATCTGGTGAGTAGTGCTTGGGTCATGGGGGTGGGGTTCCCCCCATGCTGTTCTCTTGCTAGTGAGTGGTTGTCATGAGATCTAATGGTTTTACAAGTGTCTGACAGTTCCTCTTACACATGCTTCCTCCTGCCTCCCACCATGTAAAACATACCTGCTTTTCCTTCTACCATGGTTGTTAGTTTCCTGAGGCTTCCCCAGCCATGTGAAACTGTGAGTCAGCTATGCCTCTTTTCTTACCCAGTCTCAGGAAGTTCTTTATAGCAGTGTGAAGATGGACTAATACAGTTACAAAGAACAATTGCTAGATATGCAGCTGATTTCTAATCAACCATAATGAAAGTCATAAGGCAATCAGATAATTTTTTTAATGTTTTAAAATGTATAGCTTGGCTTAAGATTCTGTCAACAACAAATTAATATTTTTAAAGTGGTGGGTAATTAATAGACATGCTCACTCAAACATGAATTTGGGACATTGTTTTTAAATGATTGATGCTATCACTTGAACACAATTAATAATTCCCTCTTCAGTACTCCCATGTATCATAACTATTATCACAAATATTATCAATGCAAATCATAGTTTTTAAATTTTTGTTTACAACACTCTACACTGAGCTTTGTGATGTAAGTACCATTCAATATCTTTTTTCCCTATCCCATTCAATTGTGCTGTATTTATTATTAGAATCAGGACATTAAAATGTCCCCCTTTTCTCCCATATTCCAAATAAAGCAGGTTTGATGCCTTATTTCTCCGGATTGTTAGTTGCCCCTCAAACTTTAGATAACACCAATTTGAACTCTGATATGCAACACATCCACCTACTTTGCCTGAGACACGGTGTTTACCAGCTATTTAGTCTGTAGTCTGTATTCACTAGATATTTAGTGAGCAAAAAGCAGTATATCAGTTACTAGGAATACAAATATAACGATGCATTTGAACTGAAGGAGGAGAAGTCTGAAAGGTATAAAATCAACATGGAAAGCCTCAAAATAGTAGATTTTAAGGTCACCTGCAGCCTTATGCCACTGGATCTGGGTTTTTTTAATTTTTTCACATGATCACATATTGAAAAATCCATTGTAGAACCCACTGGCTCTCATCCGTTGGATCACACTAGAGTAAAAATGTCTTCATATTCTGTATCTTTTCCAAAGTTTTTGTGTATTAGCCTTAAAAAATATATGTATTCCGTCATTTTGAAAAGGTCATTTTCTTAGTTGGTTATGGACAGGTGTCTTCATTATTGCAAAATCCCAGACAATGAAGCTGCTTTACCATGACAGGAGATAGAGGTCAGATGTGCCTCATTGTACACTTTTCTCTTTTGAAGTTTACGCGCAACCCAAAATATTTCTTTGCCATATTTTGAAATGGTCCTGCAAAGCTCAAGATAATTCTTTAAACTACCATGATTATTCCTGACATAAAGACCCTTGGTAAATACAGGATGGATCAAAACAAAGGGTTATTTTGTATTGGCCCAAAAAAATACTGTTGTAGAACTTGATCTACTGCTATACTGCCTGAAGTTAATGGATAGCATTTTAGGAGTTAAGAAGGTGGTTAAGTCCCTTAACAGTAAAAAGGTACTTGAAATGTCATAAGCTTGACTCAAACCAAGAGTCTGACCTCCTACTGCTCATATGTTCCCTGTGTCCTATCAGAACTCCTTCAGCACCTTCCCTATTCTAAGGTATGTCACCTGCCAGGTACCTGGTTTGTCCCATTTCTTTCCATCAGGTTGTAAGATGAACTAATAATAAGGTTTAAGGTAAATAACCCTTAAAGGAGACTTAAAAGTGGAAAAGAAAAATACAGACTTAAATAATAACTTGGACTGATAATCAATGGTTAGTAGTAGTTAACCATAATGGCTACCAATGAGAGTATAGGAGGAGGCTGTTAATAAACCTAAATATGGATAGAGCTCTCCACACAGCAAGCATACATAAATAAAATCCTCTAGGTTATGTCTGTAACAATTTATGTAGTTCTTTTGTCTGATGGAGACACACACAGATGAGTCAGCGTGTGGTAGTACCTGTGTGGGAGGTGCTGCAAGGTCAGCCAGCCAGCCTCTGTGTGAGATTGTTGCGGGACTGCATGAATCTGGTATGCAGCTGGGGCAAAGCACCACCCGATGTCCCTACCCACAGGTCCTGCTGACAGTGTAGCAGGAGCTTGATGCATGAAGATGTAGCACAGTGGAACCAGAAAAAAAGGCTCCTTTCCTCCTGTCAAAGCTTAGCATTGTGCTCACTACTAGAGGAGAAATACTCAAAAAGTCCAGTTATAATAAATTGATAACTGCACACTAGGCAATAACTTGTAGTGCTTCCTCTCTCTGGTTTTGACAGAATTATTCAATAGCAGACATAGGAAGTCAGCTGCTTTCAGCTGAATTGAGAGTTGATACTATCTCAAAGAGCTATACAAGAGTAACTTGTCTCCTTTTTCAACACCATAGAGTGAAAGAGAATGATACCTAGTTGCTGGGTTCTTCTAGATTTGCCAGTCAAAACCTGAATAAGTCACTTGTTTCTGGGCCTCACTTGATCATTTGGTAGGGAAGGAAAGAGAAACGATTTGAATTACATGCACTCTTAAGTCCTTGCCAGGTTTAAGGTAAGGAAAGCTCTCTGGGGTGAGGCTGGTTCAACTACT